CAAAAAGATTAAATAAAAAATAGAGTAAACTGCAAACTTGGTCCCTATGGTTTGTTGGGAATGACAAATTTGGTCCATTTAGTTTTTGAAATTATGAGATGACCATCATGATTTGTAAAAACGTTCGAATTTAATCTCATCCTCTAAAGGCGGTTAAAATATTTTTGTTAAATGAGGGGATATTTTCGTTAAAACTGCTCCTCAATTTTTAATGGCTGTTAAAAAAAGAGACCAAATCCAGACGTTTTTATAAATAATAGGTACCAAATCTGTAGTTTACTCAAAAAAAAATTACATCTTTTAGATGAAATTGATTAATTGAAAAAGACATTAGTGGAATGGGTCATAATTAATATGAATTATATTTAAATGCAATAAACTTATTAAAATGTTTTATCATAAAATTATTTTTAATAATATAATTTTTATAATCAAATATAAAAGATTAATTATTTGTATAATGCAAATATGAACCCTCAACTCAATTTGAGGGGTTATTTGGTAGTTGTTGAACGGTTTGATGCTGAATGATTAGAATACTCTTATGATATAGTGCAAAATGAAATATAATTGTTTGGTAATTATTTACAACGAAATTAGGATGTTGGATGGTCAAGAGAGTTTCTGATACAAAATAATTCAGAAGGTTTTAGAACTATTAAAAGACAAATTTTTTTTTTGTCAAACAAGATTCACCTTTTAACGATTCAGAGATTGTCCCGAATGGAACTATTAAGAGGTAAACAAACGACCTCTTATGCTAAAAACATACCTAGTTCAACTTGTCACCCAACTCTTCAGAGTCATCCACATTTACTCTGACTGAGACGCGTTTCAACATTTAATTAACAGATAATCAAACATTTCTGTTATTTTAGATATTATAACAAATCTTTAACGACACATACTAAGAGGAAAAGAACAATGTGTCTTTTACGTACAAAATTTGTTTAACAAATATTTAAATTACGTTTTAAAGTACATATATTGAATATAACATTTGTTTCTCTCTCACACACACACACACATATATATATATATATATATATATTAAACGCAATTTTAATGGTACATCATGATCTTATGTTTTAAATTAATCTCACAAACAAACAGTTCTACAATTCTTAGAACCGTACGGTTGACTTTGTCTGGGCACGAGCTCCAAAGGTGAAACAATAATTAGGCAACACAATAATTAGGCAACACAATTGATTAACTGAATAATGTTGAAAACAAAACCTCCCAAAATAATAAATACAGAAAGACAAAATGTAAAATACTCCATTTATTTGTAACTGAATATTGCTACAAAATACAGTATATTACATACAACTTGTACCACAAAGCTTAAAAACAGCCGAAGAAAGCAATATAAGCAAAAAGGTGGTCCAATATCGAATATTAACGTTGCAGTTCATTCAACCCTATAGTCGATTATCAGTATCGGACTGTTTCTATTGTATGTTTATCAGTATCGGACTGTTTCTATTTAATTCAAGAAGTTTATATATCATTATATTTGTTAGGCCATGACACTTGGACTTCGACATGTGCCTTTCTAAATTCAGAGTATAAGTCCATAATATCATCTTTAATACATTTGTGGTCAATAAACGATGGTATTAACCCCAAAAGATATAAAGTAGTCTTGTGTAGGCATGGGAATGGGGTGGGGACCTCAACCCCTGTCCTCATACCCATCCCCGTTGGGGAATATAATTACATCTTCATCCCTAACGGAGAATGAGGAATGAAGATTTTTTATTTATTTATGTAAGTTATTTTAAATTAAATATGTGAGAGGTCATACATGTTTAAATCACAACATCATATAAGAACTAATAACCTAAAACCAAAATGAATTTAATTTAATACGAAAAAAATCACAACATCATATAATAACTAATAACCTAAAACCAAAACAAAAGTTCAATTTAATAAAAAAAAATTTAAAGTCACATGTACCAAAAGATATTGAGTAATATAAAACCATATCGAGTAATATACAAAACTTATCGAGTAATTGTATTTTGACTTGACATCCAAAATATTACATATTAACATCCAAAAAATAACAATTTTAGATTATAAACCTGGAGTACAATATCCGTCTTCATCCCCGTCCCCATCCCCGATTTAGCGGGGAATCCTCGTCCCCGACGGGGCGGGTGGACCGGGTTCCCCTACAGGTCGAAGCCCATTCCCATGCCTAGTCTTGTGTTCTGAAAACACAGTGTCGTGATAGCTAAAAAATAAAAATCTGTTACATGGACTTGATTTTAACCATAAGTTAAATGCTCGAAACATATGTTTATAACGATTAAATTGTCAGGATTAGTTCAAGTACAGTCTGGGACATTCTTAAAATAACATATGAAAATCTAGTATCCTAAAATCTAGGTGTTATTCATATCCCACCAATGAAATTAAGGAACCGTTTATCAAATACTTATCCAGTAAGAGCTTATAAAGTCACATTGCCTTACCGAATGAATATAGCAAAGATCAAGAATTTTACTCGGTAAGCGCTAACCGTGGTAAGAGTCGTCGTCCTCACTTACCGGGTAAGACTCTCGGCCCTTCCTTACTCTTACCCTGGTAAGTGAGAGCGACGACTCTTACCACGGTTAGTGCTTATCGGATAAATTGTTGCATATAATCTTGTTTTGGTGGACTAAAATCGTGTCCGGTAAGTAAGTGATAGTGTTGAATTTTACCGATAAGCGCTTACCGGGTAAGTGTTTGGTAAACGGCCCCTAAGACACATTAGAAGAAACTTTGCTTTTTTGGTCTTTCTGGTTTTTTGAAAATAACATTTTCCGTTTATGCAGTTTCAAAATTACAAGATAGCTATCTTGGTTTGCAAAATCGTTCGAATTTGGTTCCTCCATTTAACGGCCATTAAAAAATAACGTTAAATTATGGACGGTTTCGTCATTCTATTGGCTTTTTCTCTTTTACCCAATCAAAAATCACATTGACCATATCATAAAATTGAACTTTTTTTTAATAAAAGTCAACAAAAGGAAGAAGATGCTCCTCATTTAACGGAATATTTAACACCCGTTAGAGAGATGAACCAAATTTGGAAGTTTTTTCAAACCATGATAGCTATCTTGTAATTTCAAACCACAAGAACGAAAAGTCATATTTTCAACAAACCACATGGACCCAATTTGTTATTTAAGTTCACATTTCTCTTTATGTTTTCTAGGTGCTCAAAAACCCGACTGACCCGACCTAAGGCGAAATAACTCAACATGAAACAACCGGATATCCAATCGAGTTATAAAATCTTCAAACCGTAGCTATTAGATTGATATTACTTTTATTTAAACCCAACTCAACTCGATGAACCTGATGTCATTCTATTTATTAAGGGTTGTTTGTTTATCTCTTAATAGTCTCATTAAGAGGCAGACTCTGGATCGCTAAGAGGTAATCTTGTTTGGCAAAAAAAAGTCGTGCCTCTTAATGATTCTAAAACTCTCTGAATGATGTTGTATCATGGGCCCCTCTTAACCATTAAGCGCCCTAATTTCATTGTAAACAATTATCAAAAAATTATTTTTTTCTTTTTGCACTATATCATGAGAGCCTCTTAATCATTCTGACAACTTAATCATTCTGCACTGAACCATTCAGGAACTGTCAAACAGCCCCTTAGATTTAATATGATTGTTGAATCTCTTGTAATATGTACATTAGACAATTATACAATCTCGTATCCTTTTCTTATACATACATTTTCAATCAATTCTCCATCTCTGTATAATTCTTTTATATATATATATATGTTCCGTAATTGTAAACATATACATAAAGGGTTGGGTTCACGTGAGACCAATGATTTTTCGTGAGACCCGTAAGACCAATTTATGTTCATTGATCAACTTTATAAGCTAATGATCTAAGAATCTAAAGTTGTACGGTGACAATTTTATGATTATTGAGAAGTCCCGTGGCAATTTTGTGATTATGAATGTTTAGATTATAGATCTAATCAAAGGGTTGAGAATTGCTCTTACGAGTCTCACGAAAAACGTTTAGTCTCACATAATCTCAAGTCTATACATATATAGATATATATATATATAGATACATATATATATATATAATGGAAATAATAAGAGTTTAAGAAGACGATGATGTATAAGAGAGGGAATCGTATAGGGGTTAAATACATATACATATATATATATATATGTATATATATATTTACATATGTGTGTGTGTATAAGCCAGGTTGGCAATGGAAAACTCATGTATTAACCGAACCTATTACTATTAATTGACGTGTCAACCTAACAATATTAACTTGCCAGCTGTCACCCCCAATTAGGGAAACCTCCACTATGGCATGCCTAACCCCCTCAAGTATTCTCTTTTCATTTCTTCCTCTCTCGTTAGGTCAATATACATATAAATTATATACGTATATATTATTGTATATAGACATACATACACACACACACCTTGGTCGGTGGTAACTATCGACCTGTCATCGTAACAATTGACTCGAGGGTGCGATACCGGTACAATTATTCTGTGTTTTTTTCTTTCGTCACAAGAAAATGGTTCGTGAAACATGAGATTTTGATGTATTACGGTCTATGAATCGTATGATCAGATCACAAAAAGCATGTTGTAAAAATGTAGCGTTAAAACAAAAGGTTGTGAACCAACAATAATTAATAACTGTATAAATATATTAACAAGAGGACGTTTTTATGATGTTTTAAGACATGTATTTAAAAAAAACAGAATTTGTGGTTTTTTATTTTCCCTAAAATGGTTATGGTCTTGTTAAACCCCCCTTTGGTTTTTCTTCTATATATATCCCTTCTTCTATCTTCGTTTCTCCCCACACCCACTCCCATAATCTTCCTTTTTCTCTCTCTAAAATAGTTTCTCTCTCTCTCTAGAAACGCCACCGTAGACATAAACCGCCACCGCCGCCGCCACCACCACCACCACCGTACATCCACCGCTCCACCACCATGCCGGAGGCACCAAAGAACTCACGTGATCAGTCGTCGACGACCATGGCGACGATGGATTACAGTCTTACTGAGAAAAACAAGAAATCTCTTCAATTCATAGAAGATGTCACCTCGAATCCCGACGATGTCCAGCTTCGAATTCTTTCTGATATCCTGACCCAAAATGCCGACGTCGAATATCTCCACCGGCATGGTTTTTCCGGCCAAACCGACCGTGAAACCTTTAAGAAACTCATTCCGGTCGTCACCTACGAAGATCTCCAGCCTGATATCACTCGTATCGCCAATGGAGATAAATCCCCCATTCTCTCTTCTCATCCCATTTCAGAATTCCTAACAAGGTATTATATATATATATATATATATATATATATATATATAGTTACATATATGTGTCTGTATATACATAGGCTTAGGTTCACGATAAACCAACTTATTTTCATGAGATCTTGAGACGACATTATAATACTAACTCCATAGCAAAATACCGTGAAGGTAAAAGAAACTCTGTACCTTCACATCGAAAACGCTCTGAAGGTTTACTTAACAATGTTTTGTTGTTAGGTTGTTTCACCGGTCTCACGAAAAAAATCTGGTCTCACACAATCTCCAAGTCTCTCTCTATATATAGAAACATCGGGTTTTAGATTCAGAAGAAAACCATAAAAACTAAAAAATAGAGTAACACCATGGTAGTCGTTCATCCGGATGGTATAGATATGTGCATATAAGTAATTTGTAAGCAATTTGTCCTAAACAATTGCATAAAAACCAAGATGAATGATTATCATGATGCTTCTCAGTTTAGAATCCCTAAATTAACAAAGGAACATCATGGTAGCTGTTCATCTGAATGGTATGCATATGTACATACAAATAACTTGTAAGCAATTTCTCCGATACGCACACATGCATAAAAAACCACCAAAACGACTTCATTTCTTATATATATATATATATATATATATATATGTATATGTATATGTATATGTATATGTATATATGTGTGTATTTACAAAATGGGTCTTTGATTATGGTGCAGTTCAGGGACGTCCGGGGGGGAAAGAAAGCTGATGCCCACCATTGAAGCTGAGCTTGAAAGAAGGTCTTTACTGTACAGTCTTTTAATGCCGGTTATGAACCAGTTTGTTCCTGGTTTAGATAAAGGAAAAGGGATGTATTTCTTGTTCGTTAAGTCCGAAGCCAAGACTCCGGGTGGGCTTTTAGCCCGACCCGTTTTAACCAGCTACTATAAAAGCAACCATTTCAAAGAGAGACCTTACGACCCGTATACCAACTACACCAGCCCGAATGAAGCCATTCTTTGCCCCGATTCATATCAGAGCATGTATTCCCAGATGCTTTGTGGGTTGTGTCTGAATCAACAAGTTCTTCGAGTCGGTGCGGTTTTCGCTTCCGGGTTCATTCGTGCGATTCGGTTCTTGGAGAAACACTGGTCGATTCTCTGCGAAGATCTCCGGACCGGAACTGTGAACCCGGTGATCACCGACCCGGTGGTTCGGGAAGCGGTGTTGCGGATCTTGAAACCAGACCCGGAGATGGCGGATTTCGTGGCGAATGAATGCTCGAAGCAGTCGTGGCAAGGGATCATCACGAGGCTGTGGCCGAACACGAAGTACGTCGACGTTATCGTCACCGGAACCATGTCGCAGTACATACCGACACTCGATTACTACAGCAACGGCCTCCCGCTCGTTTGTACGATGTATGCGTCTTCCGAATGCTATTTCGGTGTCAATCTGAACCCTCTTTGTAAACCTAATGAAGTTTCGTATACCCTAATTCCCACCATGGCTTATTTCGAGTTCCTTCCTGTAAATGGCGATCAAGAACAGCAACTCATCGATCTTTCCGACGTGAAACTCGGCCAAGATTACGAGCTCGTTGTCACCACTTACGCCGGTGAGTTACATCGAACAATCCACTACAATAAAATTGAGTTTATAAAGTGTCTTAATAGACTGTCTTATAGGACTCAATATTATATACAGAACCAAAATATTAAAGCCTCTTTTCTAAAAGTGATACAATAAGTTTATAGAACATTTTTTGATGCTTTAGGATTCTTTTAAAATAAAATGTCGTATTAGATACTTTATAGGACGATATTTAAAAGTGTCTTATAAACTTATATAACACTTGTCCTATAAAATAGCTAATACGACATTTTATTTTAAAAAGAAGTCTTAAAAAACTTATTATGATGTCTAAAAACGTTCTATAAACTTATTATAACACTTTTAGATTTTATCTTTTAGTACAGTTTGATCAAAAATGGAGTTTTTTGCAGGTCTTTATAGGTACAGAGTTGGTGATGTATTACGAGTTGCAGGTTTCAAAAACAAAGCTCCACAATTCAGTTTCATTTGTCGAAAGAACGTAGCTTTAAGCATCGATTCGGACAAAACCGATGAAGTCGAACTTCACCAAGCCATCGAGAAAGCATCGAGCCATTTGGTCCCATTTGATGCAACCCTAATCGAATACACCAGCTTTGCGGACACAACCACCATCCCGGGCCACTACGTCATCTTCTGGGAGCTAAACCAAAACGGGTCGGCCCAGATTCCACCATCGGTGTTTGAAGATTGCTGTTTCGCCATCGAAGAGTCTCTGAACAGCGTTTACCGGCAAGGACGAGCCTCCGACAAGTCGATCGGACCACTCGAGATCCGAATCGTCGAAAACGGCACTTTCGATAAACTAATGGATTACGCAATCAGTTTAGGCGCTTCGATTAACCAGTATAAAACACCAAGATGCGTGAAATTCGCCCCGATTATCGAGCTCTTGAGCTCGAAGGTCGTGGCGAGTTACTTGAGTCCAAAGTGTCCGAAATGGGTTCCGGGCCATAAACAGTGGAACAAGAACAACGTAGATGATCAGTAAGATGAATGTAATTTAGTTTTAGGACGAATCGAATTAAAAATCAATGGAAGTCGGGTTTAATCAGTAAAATTAACAGAAATAGCCATTTTCAGGTATCAAATTCATCTCTCAGACATTTCTCTTTGAAAATTTCTAAAATATCACCATCTTCATAAATTACACTTTCTCAACTTGCTTGTAGAGTAGCTAAAAGACAAAAAAAGTCAACTTTCACCCACCTGCAGTCTGCAGAGGTGTCACTTGCTGACCTGGAAATTTTCACCCACATGCGAGCGTGGGTGAAAGTGAATCCCTTTTGTTTTTTAGCTCATATGCAGGTTGATGAGGTGTCACTTGTGGAGGTAGTGATATTTTGGAAATACCTGAAGAGAAATGACTAAGAGATGAATTCAGTATCTGAAAATAACTGTTTTCCCTTAATTTTCCATTAAATTGTTATGTACAAAAAGAGTTTATGGATTTGAAGTTGTTGATTACATGATGAAATTGAATCCAACCAGGAATCCTGCCCACTTAACTTTCATGAGGATGGTCTATTAATATTTCCTAGGAAAGCAAACTAACTTTCCTTACATCCTACTTATGTTTATTTCCAATAATACCCTTTGATTCATTAATGAATACTTCTCAAACGGTTGCTCTTTCCGTTTCAAAGTAAATGCTGACGTTATTCAAGATCGAAATCAGATAACGGGTGACTTTTTAATAAATGTGGAGATGGGATTCGTCGAAGTTGAACGGTTACTGTTTTATTGTTGTATAAAGGGGTTTGTTGATAATCCGTGATCAGTGAAGTTGTATTGCTCTGGTACAAAAGCGTTATATGAAGCAAATCGGGTATGTAACGATACATGGTGGCTTGATCTGTGTCCAGAAGAGACGTAATTCGTAAAGGGACTGTAGTTCTCATATTGTGGTGATGCGTGTTATGTGGCTAGCTTAAGAGTTGATCAGTGCCCACATGACATGCTTGCTAGCGTGATAACTGATATGTATCCACAAGAAACGTAGTTCGTGAAGGAATGTAATTCTTATATTGTGGTAATGCATGTTAGGTGGCTAACTTAAGAGTCGATCAGTGCCCATGAAAGACCTAAATTACAACGGAATTGTGGTTTTCACATTGACACAAATTAACAAATTAATTAGGTATATAATGGCATGTTAGCTCGATCAGTGCCCACCAGAAAGGTAATTCATTAAAGAACTGTAATCCTCACACGTACTGCAGCTATGCATGCTAGGTGGACAACTTAAGAGCAGCAGGTGTTTATAAGAGACCTAATTCACTAAGAAATTATAATTCTTACACTGTACAAGTGTCATCATATTAAGAGCCGATGATTTTAGTGTTTGTACGTAGTATTATAAATATTTAATGTATTACATATGATTACGAAATTATTTCTACTAATATATCAATCAAATTTCTATGAATAAATTTGTATACATTTAGATTTGTTTAGGTGATTCTTGACTCTCTAAAGTATACCCATTTGACTAATTTGGAATAAGATATAACTAAAATGGACATACATATATATATACACACATATATACATATAGGGTTGGGTTCACGTGAGACAAGGTTATTTTCATGAGACAAGTTTTTTGCACTTGAAACTTTACAGCAAAACGCTGTGAAGGTAAAAATAAGCCGAACTTTCACAGCAAAAATATTGTGAAGGTTACCTTCACAGGATTTTGTTGTGAAGTTTCAAGTAAAAAACTTGTCACGTGTCTCACGAAAACTATTTTGTCTCATATGATCTCAAGTCTATATATATCTATATATATATATATACATACATACATACATATATATATACACATGTATGTGTATATATATATACATATATATACACACACATATATATAGACTTGGGATCACATGAGACCAGTCTGTTTTCATGATACCACTTGTTTACACTTGAAACTTCACAACAATATGTTGTGAAGGTAACCTTAACAGTGTTTTTGCTGTGAAGGTAACATTCACAGTGTTTTTGCCGTGAAAGTTCGAGGTTTTTTTACTTTCACAACTTTTTGCTGTGAAGTTTCAAGTGTAAAAAAATGGTCTCACGAAAATAGACTGATCTCACGTGAACCTAACTATATATGTATATATATATATACACACACACACATAGATAGGGTTGGGTTGACGTGAGACTAGTCTGTTTTCGTGAGACCTATGAGACCACTTTTTTACACTTGAAACTTCATAGCAAAACACGGTGAAGGTAAATAAAAGTCGAACATTCACAGCGTTTTGTTGTGAAATTTCAAATGTAAAAAAGTGGTCTTACGGGTCTCACGAAAACAAGCTGGTCTCACGTGATCCCAAGTGTACATACATATGTATGTAGATTTGGGATCACGTGAGACCAGTTTGTTTTCGTGAGACCCGTGAGACCAGCTTTTTACACTTGAAACTTCACAGCAAAATGCTGTTAAGGTAACCTTCATAATTTTTTTGCTGTGGAGGTTCGACTTTTATAAACATTCACAGTGTTTTTGCTGTGAAGTTTCAAGTGTAAAAATGTGGTCTCACGGGTCTCACGAAAACAACATGGTCTCACGTGAATCCAACCATATATATGTGTGTGTGTATGTGTTGAAAAGGTAATTTTAGAATTGTGATTATGGATCAAAGTTTTAACACGCAAAGTAGATGATGATGTAGCAAATAGAAGGCAACAAATATTAAAGAGGAAAAACGAATATTTTTTTAAAAAAAATAATAATAAATAGGTGGTTTTCTTTTAGTATTTTTTTTTAATCCAAATTCACTTTTTAATCGATCCTTATATAGAAGGTTTACGCATATGCGTAAGGATTGGTTTTCGACAAAAAAAAAAAGTCATTATGTATATGCATAAAGTTTCCGTCTACGTAAGGATTTCGATATATACCATATTATAATGGATTCTTACGTAGAAATCTTACGCATATATGTAAAGATCATTTTTTTTCTTCCCGAAAACCAATCCTTATGCATATGCATAAAAATTTGCTAAAAACATATCAGAAAATGATTAAAAACTGAAACCCTATTTGCTGACCGGCCATTTCTATTAAAAATGGTAACACAATATATTAGAGGTGATCATTGTTTAAAGAAATATATATATATATATATATATATATATATATATATATATATATATAAAGAAAACATATGTGAATTGATGTTACAGAGTTTTCATATGGGCTATATTAGAGGTGATCGTTTTAACTTGTTTTTTTTTTTTTTGTCTAACGGGCCTAATATTGTAAACTTAGGCCTTTTTTTTGGGTTTGACAACTTTGTCATTGCCCGCCCTATAGACAGACTGGGCTTGTCCACAGGCTAACGGGCCTAAAACTGTTATAAATCTATAAACTTGATCACTCACAAATTCACAATTGATTAACAAACGTGGAACCAAAAAGTAAAGGAAAAACACCGTTGTAATTAAAATTTTAAGCAACTAAAGTGACACATGGATCTCAACAAGTGAAAAAAGAAATAAAAAAACAAAATTCAGACTTCCATAAAATCAATAATGCATTTCTATTTTTTATGTATGACATTAATATTCACATTAAGAGGTAAACAAACAATCCCTTAATGAACAAACAATAACATTAATTTCTAATAACCTTTTTTTATTTAAACAATGATTTACATATGAATCTTCTCTCTTATATCCATATCACATATACTGTTCATCCTTGGTAAGACCTTTGATCTCCGCAACAACGATGTTTCAATATTTTTGGAGCCTCTGTTACACCAAAGTCCAAAAACTTTTGATCAGAATGCAAAATGAGATAACAAATATACATATATATATATATATATATATATATACACACACACACAAAAATTACATAGTCAATAATAAGTCATATTACTTTTATCTTCTTATAGAAACTAGATGGTATATAGTTCTACATTCATCGATAAAAGGCATGAACAATGTAAAACACACATTTAACATGCTAAAGAACGCACAGAACAGGTTAATCCATATTTAGGCGGTGTTTGGGATTGTTTATTTGAAACAACTTATATTTTTTTTACAAAAAATCTTTATCAATTTATTATAAGTTAAAATGGTTTAACTTTTTCAAAAACTTCTTATTACAGTAGTATAAACTGTTTATCAAAACATTCAAAAGTGTTTTACATAGAAATAAGTCAATAAGTTGTTTTTAGAAGCAATTCCAAACAACCTATTTGCATCATAGTATTGGATGATTAAATAAAGAAGAAAATGAATAATAGGAATCAAACCTCACGTTTTGTATAGCAAAATAATGATGTAAAGAGTACACCAATAATTAGCGTTGAAGAATTGGGGACGAACACCCCCAACCCCAACCCCAACCCATTGGATAGCGTTAATTGATTGATGGGTAAATCAGCTTTTGTTGGAACCCTTTTTTGATGATTTGATTTGAGAGATGGGGGCAAAAACTCAGCAGTCTCTGCTTTTGATTTTGTTATCCTGGAAATTTTATTTTTGGGAAGGAATCAAAGCTCAAAGTAGTTGTTGCAGAGAAAATGGGGAATGATGGTGGATGGAAAAGAATGAAGAAGATACAAAGAACAAAGTCAGGTGGTCGATGGCGAATAATTTCTCCATGGAAGAACGACAATGGTGCAGAGATTTTGGGGTTAAAGCAGCAGCAGCACTACTACGAAACTGGTATGCAGTGCAGGTAAGGTGTTTGATTAGATGTCTCTGTGAAAGCAACTCTATTTGTCGTCTTCTATGGTTTTCCTGTCGACATTTTAGGCATTCTTTTTTCGTTTTTGTGAATGGAAAGCGTGTACGATTTAGGGGTAGTTCACTAATTTTTTATTCAATAAAGGGTTGTTTGTTTACTTCTTAACAATTTTATTAATAGACCATATCTGAATCATTAAGAGGTGAATATTGTTTGGTAAAAAAAAAACTTCCTATTAATGGTTATAAAGTCCTCTGAATGCTTTTGTATCATAGATCTCCCTTAACCATTAAGCACACTAATTTCATTATAAACAATTATATTTTATTTTGCACTGTATCATGAAAGCTTCTTAATCCTTCTGACCACTTAATCATTCTGCACCAAACCATTCAGCAACAACCAAACAGTCCCTTAGGTATTTACCTGTAAAAACAGTATCCTCGTTTATCTTATTGGATTCGAATTCAGGCACTGTCAAAGCCCTTGTGACCATGGAGGTTCACCTGCACTAACTTGAGTCCATTTGTAGTTAACCAAGGGATTAGTCGGTACACGTAAGCTGCCCGAAAACAAGACAAAGTAGCAAATGATTGCATGGTGGACTAACACAAACTTTTTTTTGGGAGTAACAAAATTTTGGATTTCAACTTCCAAATATGCAATATGAGATTTTAACATTTTTTCTTTAAATCTTGAATATATTTTTGAAAGAATGAGTCTAAGGAGTTGTTTGTTTATCTCTTAATAGTTTCATTAAAAGACAATCTCTGTATCATTAAGAGGTGATTCTTGTTTGGTAAAAAAAGTTTGTCTCTTATTGGTTCCAAAATTCTATGAATGATTTTGTATCATGGTCCTCCTATAACAATTTTGTGCCCTAATTTCGTTGTAAATAATTACTAAACAATTATATTTCATTTTACACTATATCATAAGAGCCACTTAATATTTCTACACAAACCATTCAACAACTGTCAAACAACCCCTAAACCACATATTTTGAAGTGGAATTTTAAACCAATCTCACCCAAATAATTAAATATTTGACTTCTTTTGATCATTTAATTTTTTTAAATTGTTTAAAAAGAGAGAAAAATATGTGATTAAGACGAAATTCATCCCGAGTGATAACACCTTAGAGCATCTCCAATGGAGTTTTTCGAAAAGAACTGTAAATTGGTGGGGTCATGCACACCAAAAATCGTCTCATCTCCGTGCACACGGCAATTATGACGTCTCAACAAGGTGTCGGTATATTTGTTGGGTCTCTCCCATCTCCGGCAAAATCAAGTTCTCTTTGCCGGTCGATTGAAGTTTAAAGACTACCAAAAACGCTATTTTAGCGTATGATTGTTGTTGCTTTTAGACATGTGGAGTTATAATAAGTATATAACCTTAAGGGTCTGTTTGATTTTTCAAAATTACCTCTTAAATAGCTCTGAATTATGATTCATTCAGACGTTTGGGTATTAAGAACGTTTGTTTTATTTTCAAAATAAGAGTTTAAAAGCTCTAAATGTCCTATGAAATTTTAAGTGGTAAATATATCCTTTAATATCTCTTAATTCTATTCTAATTCACCCTCTATCATACGGTTCATATTTTAAGGGCTGAAAGAGATTTGTTAGCAAAAAATATTCATCTTTTATACTTTTGTAAAAAAAGAAAACTATTTATTTTTTATATATTTGCACTAGTTTGACCGCAAACTTCAGACGTAAAAACAAACAATCTTACTGATCCAGATTTCAGATTTCAGGACCAACTCTTGTATATCACAAGTGAAATTAGACTTCAGCACCTCTTAAAAACAAACACCACTTAAGGGTCAAAGGGAAGGAACAACATATATCACTTGCCATTTCATAAGGTTCCAATAGAAGGAAGAAAGTGGGTCGATTAGAATTTAATACCACTTTTTAATAAGATTTCAGACTTCAATACTTTCTAAAACCTCATCATCTAATTCATCTGAGTTTTCCTAATCCCTATTCAAAAAATATCAACTTGCACACGTTTTATACCTCAGGAGGATGTAGTGAAAACATCATTTTTGACGACGTTAAAACCCTTGTGGCTGGAGGTGTAAATGATTCAAGTTTTTAACGAGTTACTCAATCTTAGTAAATCTCGAGGCTCAAGCCGATCTCGAATATAAAATAAATCTCAATTAACTTAGCAAATCGAGTCCACAACACCAATTGTTGACTCAGCTCGATTAAACTTCATGAGTGAAGCCGAGCCATTCAAGCCCACTTTTTTCAAACCAAACATATTTATATGTTTATAAATTACATAATCAAATATAAAAATCATCAAACTTGAGCAAATAAACGAGTTAATCGATTTCAACTTCGAGCTCGAGCTCAAACATTGAAAGAGCATCCGAGCCCGACTTTGAAAACGTTATTCGAGCTCGAGCCTGACATTAACTTTTCGAGCCAAGCACGAATAACCTACGACACGACTCGTTTACACCCCTACTTATGGCCGTGGAGGTTCACCTGCGATTGATTCCAAGTCATTCTTGGTCGTCCAGAAGATTAGTCGGTGCTCATAAGCTAGCTCGGAAACTCACGCTTATGCGGAAAAACAAAAACAAAAACTTAAAACAATCCTTTTACCATAAAACAAAACAACTAAATATAGAATACAAATTGTACATCATGTGAAATCCTTCCTATTGTAACAAAGAAAATACAACCACTGCTGCTGCTGCATTTTAACCAACTTATTTTACAAAATTTAGTACCTGTTTTCAGAAATCTTATAATCAGCTTCCGATAAATGTTATGTCTTCCTTTTCTAGGTGCATTTTCCCTTTGTCTCTTCTACTATTTGCTCGATTTTGTTCCGTTGGTTGACCTCGCTGCAATTTCATCATAAATCGCATTTATAAAAGGTTCAGATCCGAAATGAAAAGTACACCCTCCGTCTCAAAATAAATGTCCACGGTGAAAAAAACGGTCTTAGAAATGTGTAATTATTAGACTTTTTCAATAACGAATGACAATGTTAGCTTATAACAATAGAGATGGTAAACCATAAGGGTGGTGCCTGATTGGTTTGAGTTTGGGCTCCAAAGGTCAAAAGGTGTCTGGCAGGTTCAAATCAAGGAGGAATAAAAATCTCCTTGTGGCCACGGAGGTTCAAATGCGGTGACGCCGGGCTACCTGCTTTAGGTGGTCGCCCTGGGATTAGTCGGCTCGCATAGTGGGTTGGATATCCAGGTTAATCAAAAAAAATAAAGATGGTAAGGAATTTCTTCGGCTCATAACTAAGGGTAGGATTGGAAAGTATGCACTTAGGTAGCATTTGGCACGCAGACTGGACGGGACGGAACTTGACTAATTGTTTGTTCTAGAGTTCTATGTTTGGTACAACTAGAACAGGACCGGACTAATGGACTATTTTGCGTTTGGTAAGCAGAACAGGACGGGACAAAACTGTTAAAATGACCAGATTGCTCCCAACATGAGTTTTAATGTTTTTTTTACTGTGTAGTAATTATAAATGTCTTAGATTAACTAAATAAATGATTTTAACATTTATAATTTTATTAACATAAAATTATTTAAACATTTACAAACCCCACCCCCATGTCAAAACCCAGGTCCCAGGTTCTTCTTCCACCACCTCTCATCTCCTACTCATCGAGAGATTAGCAGAGTTCTATCGAACATAGATCTGAATACTTGAAATCATAAACCGAAAACAGGTAAATTGGTAACTTGAAAACAGAAATCAAACATCGAAAACAGGGGCCTATAACTTGAAAACAGAAATTGATGAACTCAAACCAGAAATTGAAATCGTTAACTTGAATCAATAAGAACTTGATAAGTATGGGTAAGAACTCTATTTCTGGAGATTAAGATTAAGAACTCGATTTCTGAAATTAGAAATCTAAAATCGATGAGGACGAACTCTGATAAATCGATTTCTGGAGAAGATAAACCCGATTTTGAGATTAAAAATAACTCACTTTCTGCAGAAGATGAAATCGATTTGTTAGAAGAGTTTGTACATTGAAGTTTCGATCGAAGATGTTGGAGCAGATGGAGAGAGGATGGAGGCAACGAGTTGTTGTGTTTTCTGATTTAGGTTTAGTAACTGTAATCTTGAAAATAGTCCCATGTTGTTCCACCCTTTCTGGTGGAACAAATTTTTTTAACTTTTGTCCCATGTCCCATCTCATTTTGGTCCCATGGCCTACCAAACATGGGACTGCCTTTTTTTTCCCATCGTGTCCCACCCAGTCTGCACTCTGCATACCAAACGCAGCCTTACTTTTGAAAGTAGATACATATTTCGGGACGACTAAAATAGAAATATGGATACTCATCTTGCAACAACAATTCGCATAAAAGATTGAGATCCAAAAGTGGGGCCTTCAAAAAGTACTCCCTCCGAATGACATAGCCCTCCTAAAAGACAACTCCTTCAGAAAAACAAAGTTATTCAAATTCTTTTTCTGAAATAAGTCAAAGAAGTCCCCCTCCGAAAAGTCCACAATGAAGAAGGCATACAACTTTAGAAATATATAATTATTACACTTTTTTAATTAACTAAATAACAATATTACCCTATAGCAATAGAGAGGGTAAGTTATTTATGCATCTCATAACTAAGGGTAGAATTGGAAAGTACGCATTTACTTTTGAAAGTAATACTTAGAGCATGTTTGTTAGCAGCTTAATTAGCTTAATAGGATTCACAGCTTATTTGATCAACTATACATGACTGTTTGATAGTGGCTTCATGATATAAAAAATGGTTTATTCAGTAAGCTTCTAGGGGGAGTTGTATGCATAAAGACAAGTTATTTTCAAACTTGTCCCCTCCAGTTAAAAAATAAACTCCTTAAATCTATGAAAAATCCCTCCCAAACAAAAACATTCTCAATCGATACAGACAGATTAATCTACACAGACAGCTTTATCCATATAAGACTTAATGGAAAACCAACCAAAAAACCCCTTATTCTGGGTTAAACTAAAATAGAAATGTGGACCCTTGTTTTAAGACGGATGGAGTACATGTATTTAGACGTGTAGAATATATAGCAAGTGTAATTGAAGCTAACCTTTCTCAAGACATATGCCAAATATAGATAAGCTACCTCCCATTCATCTGGTGAAAGTGTACCTGCATATTTCATCCATATAATAAACATCCACAATACAAGGATGGGTCCCATCAAATCATTAGACTAATACTCCCTCCGCCCCAAAAAGAATGTCCACAATGGAAAAAGATAGTTTTAGAAATGTGTAATTATTACAACTTTTTAATTAACTAAATGACAATTTTGCCCTTAATAATAGAGGAAGTAACGAATTTCTTCATCTCGTAATTAAGAGCAGAACTGGAAATTATAAAGTTATTTTGGGACAAACTAAAATAGAAATGTGGACAGTTATTATGGGACGGAGGGAGTAGAAGCTTACTCTGGTCTTGGTTTCCATCCCCTAAGGCACCGAGTCTCCGCATTAGTTCAATAAATTCAGGCTTCTTCATGTACTCGTGAACAAATGCATGCGAATTCTTCACAAAAACAAGCTCCAAATCATACTGCAATTTTCAAACAGAATCTGTAATCTGCAATTCTGGATGTTCAAACTCATTTAAATTTCTTTCCACCAAAAAAACTAGACTTCTTCGACCAGCAACAAAAGGACGGGAAGCGATCTCATTGCAGCTTACGCAAGCATGCTACTAAGTTTTTCTCTAAGTAAATCATTCAAATAAAATACCGACTCAGGTGGTTAATTATGCATGTAAAATAGGCATACGCCCCTCAAGTAGGCTTGAATAAATCTATCAATAGTCATGATTCCAGCTAGATAGACTATAAACTAAACCAAACCAAATGAAATGAACCACCCACAGGTGGGGTCCGGGGAGGGTAAGATGTATGCAGACCCCACCTCCAGGTGGAATATACTGGCCTCCTTCTTGTAGATTTTGAATACCTACTCCACTACTAAACCAAGTTATCTAGAACTTCCTAATCCAGGTATTCCTGCTGCTGCCTGTACTGTTCAAAACTCCCCTTGGATTGCAGATTTTAATGTGGCCAATCACATGATCTATGTTGATGATATGATACTAAGGGGCAATGACATTGATGATTTGGAACTTGGAAGAACCAAAAAAGTTACTAGCTCGAGAATTTGAAGTGAAGAATCTTGGTCCAATGAAGTATTTTTTTTTTTTTTGGGAATGGATACCGCAAGATGTAAACAGGTACGTGTATATCTCAACGGAATGTCATGGACCGACTTAAAGAAACCTGTATGTTTGGGTGCAAACCTGTGACAACACCTATGAAATCAAGAGGAAAATATAACCAGAAAACCAAATAGAAGCAAGTCGATAAAGAGATGTATCAGCAACTCATAAGAATATTTCTATTATGCATGTCACATACTAGACCGGATATTGCCTTTTTGTCGGCCTGGTGAGCCATATAGGAAGAACAAATGGAAGTTGTATACAGGATTTTACAGTATCTGAAGAGAACACAGGGAGATCGACTGTTGTTCAGAAAAAATGAATACATACATGTAAAAGCATTCACAGACGCTAATTAGGTAGAAGCATATGAAGATATGAGGTCAACATCCGGATATTGCACCAAAAGTATATGGAAAACTGATTACTTGGAAGAGCAGAAAACAGTAGGTAGTAACTTGAAGTGGTGCTCAAGCGGAACGTAGAGCACTTGGATCAAATTATTAAAGTGTACTTGAAGAACTAAAAGACATCAGAGAACCGCTCTATTTAAGTTGTATAGTGACAAGAACTCAACAAGCAATATAGCACATGATGTGCATATTTATAGGCTTCTGCCCATCAAGCATAGATAAGAACCATAAGATCATCTATTCTTCAAGTTATACACAAAGGGTGCATCGAAAGTAAATTCTAAAAGTATTAGCATGTGGGACCTACAAAAAATGAGGTTTTGTTGGTATGCAAGTTCCAGTGGAGAAGATGAGTGATACTTGATGACAATTCTATACAAGGACATAACCATACCTACTCATTAGAACAGTGTCAAAGTAAAAAACAGTTACCTCTTCTGCCAGCGATTTGAAGACGTGAAATGGAACAATCCATTCTGGGCAATCGACAGCATCCTGCAAAGAAAAGCCAGCATTGCAATTCCACAGGAAACATAAAATGAGAACGGAACTCCATGTAGCAAAAAGAGAACTTTGAAGCACTGGTGAACCATGAATATCTTATTCTTGTTTGAATCTCAGTACGTGCTTACATTAAAGATAGATTCTTGAGTCAAAACGATCAGAGTTTGCGCATACCATCGAACTGGTACAAGAAATTAAATCCGCTCCAAAAAGATATGTCAGGTGGCCTCTATTTCTTACATAATGCTTAAGATCCCTCTAGTAAACTTGGGAGGTATGTCTATAAATCCTATTATTGACTTAATTCTTTATTTGGTAACACATTGCTTCTATCCAGAATTCATACAAGTAATATACTGGAACATACCTCTAGGTGAAACTTGTACTTTATGCCAAAGGGGCTCGACGACTTAAATTTCTGAGAAACAGACATGAAACATGTACAATTGTCAGTCTTTTCAAATTTCAAGAAAGAGAGACTCTAAGCCACAATAACTGAGAACTCACCTTCTCTGAGAATTCATCATCAAAGTGAATCCAGTAAACACTGTTGCCAAATGCCAATCCTTCGGCTGTATGATCAACAAAAAATATTAACTCAATAGCAATGTGAGCAAAGGCCCATATGCTGAAACATAAAAGGTATATGCTTTAATCAAATAGTAAAAATATCAAGCTCATGGTCCAATTGTCTTTCTTATGCAATTCAAGACACTGAAAGCAGTAGAAAATATGAAAAGGCCACCTGCTCTTAGCTTTTTTACTATAACATTTGCATCTGGCATTGTGCCGATAAATATCCCTCCCGGACGAAGTAATGATGATACATTAGCCAAGGCCCTCCGTGCTCGTGCTTCAGTAGACCACGAGTAGTGCATCGCAAACTGCAAAAGAAGGCAGTCCATATATGGTTCATTTGCTTCAATAATGATATCATAGGAATACGAAAGCATATGCAGCCTCAACGTTTACTGTATGCTTTATAAAAATTTACTCACCTGACAACTACATAAATCAAAAGGTGCATCATCAGCCAAAGCTTTATCCAGTCGGACCTGAAAGCAGTTAAGGCTCAACTTCAAGCATAAAATTCATTTACTAGCAGACAAAATGATAATTTGGTACAATTAAAAGTTATTCCAGGTATCTGTATGTATCGCATTGGTAAGTTGCACATTATATCCACTGCATAAGGTGCAATCATTTTTCAACCACTAACAAGTATGATCGAGTTGGATGTACATTTGATCAAACAATTCAAGGGGTAGTATACTGTGTGAGAATTACAAATTAGATCTACACTATTAGTCACCTCAAAACAATCTCCACTTAAAAGTCGAGCGGGGAAGGTGAACTTTTTACGGCGCTGATGATGATCTGCATCACCATTGTAGCGAGTGCGGCAATCTTCTATCTGCACATATTTCAATGTGATTGCAAAAGGTGAAATTAAACTTATTTGCATGCGTAACCACATAACTAAGAATATACCTAAGAAAAAAATGGATCTTGGCTGTATAAATATCATAGACAAAACTTTCACAGCTAAAACTAAGAGATCGTAGATTTGAAAAAAAAATTACCGAACCGTCTGCTATGTCGATGCCAACATAGTATCCAATTTTTGCCTTGTCCCATTTGATCAAATCACCACCCTAATTAAAAGTCAGGGTTAAAGATCAATCTAACTATTAATGAACATGTATAGAAAATTTATCAAGTATAAGATTTTTTTTTATAAAGGAAGTATAAGATACTTGTAGTACCTTACCACACGCAAGATCAAGAACTGCATCCCCCCTCTTTGCATAAAGTTGAATTAGAACGCTTTTAATCTGCTCGTTGTGAATAATGTAACATTAAAACTGAATCAATTAAATCGCAAACGCTTATATACTATATGCCAACACAATTCTTCATTCACATACCCAGTTGTTGAGTTTCTTTAAATGTATAATGGGACTCGCTTCTCGTTCTTCCAGCGTTTGGTTTGTCCTTGCACTATAATGGTCTGCAACTTTCTTGGCAAAAATCTTTGTGCTCTCATCCTCTAGAAAGGCATCACCTGGCAGTAAAGTACGTATAACAAGGCATAGAAAACCAAAAACAAAAACATCACCTTTGCACATCATGAAAAACGAGGTTGAAACACACAAATTTTTGAAATAAAGTCCCCATGCTTGAGAACTAATACTCCTTCCTTTACAGAAAAGAGCTACACTTCGTTTTTATGTTGATCCTAGTTTCTAATGCAAATATGATATGTATATTACTGTGAATCAAGCACTAATTATTTCATCTTGTGCTTGAGAACATTGAGCAAGAAGTGTGCAAGTTCAAATACAGATTGAAGTTGAACGAATCTCCAAGTCAAGATGCAAGTCTTTTTTTTTCTGGAACAAGCGGATTAAAATGAAACCACATACATTAAAGATGAAATAATACCGTCTGGGTTGTGTCTGGGTTTGGACTTTGGAGGTCCTAACGAAGCTGAGGACGATGATTGTTGATAACCTCTCTTCATGGCCAGTAGTAGGGAACAGCCACCACTGGTGGTGAGGCAGATGGCCGGTATATGGACAACAATTGTACTTGAAATTTAATCAAGAACGACACAATACGAAAACACCAATCGCAGAGCTATAATCCAACAGGTTGCACTGTTCTAAAATAATATGTGATTATTGTTGTGAAACTCGTCTGCAAAACATGAAAGAAGAGAGCAATTGGCATCAAGGAACATACATACAAAGATAGCATAAACAATCACGATTTCAATTTGGATTTCAGAACGCAAATTGACAGATAAACACTAAAACTCAAATTTTACAATCAAGGAAAGATGTTCTTTCAAGGGTGGTTAGATTTTAAACAATTATGTCCAGTAGACAATCAAGAATGAAAAATAATGAAGAGTTTGGCAGTGATGGTGTTTGTCCTACCAGAAAAGATTCATGTGTCAACAGTGGAGGAGCAGCTAGGGCTTGTGACGGGTGTCGTGAAAGCAGGTCAGATGAGGTTTTAAGCTGTGTATTCCACTCTCCCCTTTTGTCGCCCCCGTCAACAGAAATTTGGAGAGGTGACGCTAACCAATCTGCATGTTTTTTGAACTTCTTCCATTAACCATTTTACCCATCAAATATAGGATAAAAATCACCTGTCTCAAAATTACACATGTCATTCCTGTCCTACTAATGAAATTAAGACACATCAGATTTTTATTTATTATTAAATTTATTTAATTCGTGTTCACTTTCTCTCTCTGATTATGTGTATTCATATGATTGGTGGACATGAATGGGACGTGAAAATTTGGGACGGGTGATTTTTAGAATGTCTGTTATTTATATTACCAACATTTGATTTAACCTACACAGGGATTCGAATAGCAACACCCAGTTAGGAGGTATCTCGCTCATGGAACCATGTAAATGTCAATATGTAAATCGATCTAATACTAAATAGAGCAAAATGCTTCAAATTCAACGGATTTCGTCTTAGTTCCTATTTAGTGTAACAAATAACTTCTTTTTCTCCACCAAAGTAACAAAGTTACAAAATTTCCTGTTTTGTACCCATTTTGGTTATCTTGCGACATTTGATGACGTGGATGCCATTTTTATCGAATTGTTTATTGACAATTATATGACCTTTAAATATTTAGATAATCATAACAAAAAGCAGGTTAGATAAACAATAAATCTCCATTCAAAACGTACATCGCTTATTTAGAATCTTCTTCTCCTCCTCCTTTACCTACTTTCCCCGAATCTTTGATTCGAATTCCAACATCACTTATACCCAAATTAGAAAAAGCTTTAATGTCATCAAAATCTTTCCCATTGGTTAAGTTAGTCCTTTCTGACCTTATAATCATCATCGACCAATTTATCAAATAAATCTCCATTAGTATCCTCCACCTGAAATGGAGGATTAAAAGCCATCATAGCACTCAAAACTCAACCTAAAAAACTGGAGCTGACAATGTTATAGATTGAAAACAAAAACTCCTAAGGAATCTACAAAAAGAACACTGAACTGATATTTATGATGTATTAGATAGAAAATTTTACCTCTGGACACTCTTAGCGCATCAAATTTGCACAAGATTGAGCCCCAAAAAAACAACAATACTTACACGATTAACTTAGGGACCAATATGACATTTGAAAAGAAAAAGGTATTAGATTAGTGATGGGATGACAAAAATATAAATTACCTGCTCCAATGTGCATCTTATGGCTGTCTATTCTATAATCTCCCTTGAAATGTTAAGAAAATTAGACATGCCTCAAAAAGCCAGGTTTTGGGAAGAATGTATGACAATTTATCAACTACATCTGATTTGTAGAGTCTCTCTAATTAAGTAATCAACAAGAATTTACAATTAAGGATGGAAATAAACCCTAAAAACAACTAAATCAGAACTAATCGATAACACAAGCCTAGTCTTCTCTAATCTACCATTCAAACATAATCCAAGTTATATTATCATAAAAAGACAAACCGATTGGTTAACATGAAATCATGATCCAATTACAATCATTTTATTCAACAGAAGCAAAAATTGCCAAGAATCATGAAAAATCAGAAGCCTAATATAAAAGACCATAAATCGTAAGGGCTTTAATCGTATTCTGGGCGTAGAACCTTACCGAAGTCTATGCATAATTAACTAAACCCTAAAATAGAGATAATACACAGAATCACTAAATCATACCGGCGTAAGTAGCGGCGGCGGCCTGAGGAGGAGCGGCTGAGGGCGCGAGCGGTGAGCAGTAGCAGGACCGGTAGCGGGTCACGGGTTGCGGTCGGTGAGGCGTGAATTAGTCGGGGTGCATGAGCTCGAATTTGTTCTTTTGGTGGTATATCAATGGCAAAATTAACAGGGAAAAAAAGTGTATTTAATATAATGAAAAATAAAATAATAATCAAGGGTTTTATCAGATAAGCGTTTATTAAGTCATATTACTTTATTGGATGAACATAGTAAGAATCGATAATCTGTTTATTAAGTTATATTACTTTATTGGATGAACATGGTAATAATCGATAATCTTACATGGTAAAAGCAATGGCAAAGACCGAGAGTTTTACCCGGTAAAAGTGGGTGATAACTCTTATTTGGTTATCGTTTGCCGGTAAATTGTTGCATAGGATGTTGTTTTTATGGACTAAAATCTTACCTGATAAAGGATGTAACATTATTGAATCTTACTGGTAAGCGTTTACCGGGTAAAGATTTGGATAAAAGGACCCTTATTTTAAAAGAAATTTATTTTGTATTTATTTGGGCAAAAGGTTGATACCGATACGGATGGTTATTTGCGCTGATCCGGTGAGGAACCCGGTTCACCCGACCAGAACGGGGATGGAGATTCCCCGCTAAAATGGGTCTCGGAGTCGGGGATCCCCGGTAGACTCAAACCGAGGACGGAGGATGTTACTCAAACCGGGGTCGGGGCCAAGGATCCCCAATAGAATCAAACGAACGGATATTATTCATGGGGTTTGATCGGGTTTTGAAGGGGGGTTGATAGAGTTTTGACCGATGACGGGATGTTAATCCCCGTACCCATCGGGGCCGGGGGATGTTACTACAAACCGGGGCCAGGGTCGGGGATTATAAAACTCGCCCCATCCCATCCCCACCCAACCCCGTTGCCATGCCTAATTACCGACATCCTCGATCGTCCCCAAATGGAATCCGCCCTAAGGACCCCAATTTGAGGGACATTTTTTGGCTTACTCAGCAATTGAGGCTAGCAAGATCCAAGATCAGACCCAAAACATGTATTTTATTTGGGCAAAATCGTCTCGCCCCGTCCCTATACCGATTGAGTTACGCACCAATAACATTTTTATTTTGTATTTACTTTTACCGATAAACTATCGATCTTATAATATTCGATAGTGTGAATACCTGTGTATGAAAGGGTCATGGTGAAACCTGACATTCGTGTCATTATATCTCTTACTATATTATAAAGCGTTTAGTTTTACCTTTTAAAAACTCTTAACTTGTCAAAATTATAAGTTTTAATGCACCATTTACATATCAACAATGCATACAGAATCTTTCAGTTTTTATAATATATGTATTTTAACTGTTTTTGTAAACAATAATGAATGGAAAATCTTAACATATCAAATTTGAACACGTTTGAGTCCTGATAAACAATAGTTACCCAATTAAGAGACCAATATGATGATTCAGATAAAAGGACGCTCATCTCAATTAAAAAAGACGCCCATTCCATCAATGAAAAATATTTCGAAAACAAAAGTCTTTCTGATTTATATAGACATATTAATCCATATAAATAGATTTATCCATACAAAACTTAATGAAAAACCAACTAAACAAACTATTATGGGGTGTTTAGCAGTTGCTGAATGGTTTGGTTCAGAATGATTAAGTGATCAAAATGATTAAGAGACTCTCATGATATAGTCCAAAATGAAATATAATTATTTGGATGTTTATAATGAAATTATGACGCTGAATGGTTAAGAGAGACATATGATACAAAATCATTCAGAGGGTTTTAGAATCACTAAGAGACAAATTTTTTTTTTGCCAAACAAGATTCACCTCTCAATGATTCAAATGCTATCTTTTAATGGAACTATTAAAAAATAAACAAACAACACATTAGTCAGGTTTTTACAGAGCCCATCAACCAAACAAATCGATCAAGAATGTAATTTACTCTAAAATGTTTATTATTTTTCCATGTTCAAAATTTGTGGGCTCTTTCTACTAGAAACAAACTAGGCCAATAACATATAAGAAGCCCAAATATAACACAAAAGCCCATTAAAAAGCCCAATAAGATATTCTTTGTGGCCCAATACGGCCCTAGGTCAAAGAACGTGTGTCATCTTAAACCCTACAAATTGCCTTACTTACCTCCATTTCCACCTCCCTCCATCTGCCGTCGTCAAATCAAACCCTAACCGGAGAAATGGGTAGAGTCATCAGGGCACAGCGTAAGGGAGCGGGTTCAGTCTTCAAGTCACACACTCACCACCGCAAGGGTCCGGCGAGGTTCCGGAGTCTCGATTTCGGCGAACGCAATGGTTACCTAAAGGGTGTCATCACCGAAATCATTCACGATCCTGGACGTGGTGCTCCTCTTGCTCGTGTTACTTTCCGTCATCCGTTCCGTTACAAGCACCAGAAGGAGCTCTTCGTCGCCGCCGAGGGTATGTACACCGGCCAGTTCGTTTTCTGTGGAAAGAAGGCGAATTTGATGGTCGGTAATGTTCTTCCACTCAGATCTATTCCCGAAGGAGCGGTTGTATGCAACGTTGAGCATCACGTCGGTGACCGTGGTTCTTTTGCTAGGGCTTCCGGCGATTATGCCATCGTTATCAGTCATAACCCTGATAATGGCACTACTAGGTAAATTTTTTCTCATTTAATCAGTTATTTTTCACGAATTTATGATTAATTGAGTTTGATTATATCGATTGATGCATATTTATGATGAAATTTGACTAGTATTCTTATAGCACTATTTCATCTGATACATAATTGTTTGATTTATTTTCGTTGTTTCCTAATTCAAAATCATTCATCGGATTCAGAAACCAGATTTATAACATTCAGATTGTGATCAATTATTCAAATCCACCTTATAGATTTTTAGCTGTGTAATACATTTACATTTAGGCTTGTTTCATAACCATCCTGTAGATGCAGCATCCGTGAGGTTGACTGGCTATGGTTCATAAGGTTTCTCAACCTTGTTTGTTAACGGGGGTATTGTGTGTATTTGGGGATAATCAATTTGAGAACCCATAAAACTTTGAGAACCTTGTGGACTAAAGAATCATGTGTTATTTCATATGTTTCTTTCATTTAAGGCTATGATATAAGGTATTGACTAACATATATTTGTTTCAATTTGTGTTTGTTTCACATGTACATGTTCACAATGTGGGTCTTTTTGCTGTGTTTGTTAAACAAAAAATACACGAAATAATCATGATACATATGAAACAAACACATTGTGAGACAATTATATGTTAATCAATACATTAAATACTTACAGTAGATGGAAAACCCATATGTTAATCACTACCTCAAATACTAACTTCAGATGGGAAAACATCATGTGAAATAATACCTTAAAAAACATGTTTAATGCATTAAATGCTGGCTTTTGTTGAAAAAACCTTAATATAAAAGTCTTATGGTCACTTTTCTGTAATATATACTTTTTGGGTGAGAGAGTTGGAGGTTGGTGAAGGGCTATTCTGAACTATCTGGATAAGCTCATTGTGGAGCCCTATATATATATATATCAATTTACAAATCTTGAAGCTATCATATGTTTGATTTGTCGTTTAATGTTGTCGATTCTAGAGTCAAGCTTCCATCCGGAGCCAAGAAGATTGTGCCCAGTGGGTGTCGAGCTATGATTGGCCAGGTTGCTGGTGGTGGACGTACTGAGAAACCCATGCTCAAAGCCGGTAATGCTTACCACAAGTTCCGTGTTAAGAGAAACTGCTGGCCTAAGGTGCGTGGTGTTGCTATGAACCCCGTTGAGCATCCTCATGGTGGTGGTAACCACCAACATATTGGTCACGCCAGTACTGTTCGTCGTGATGCACCACCCGGTCAAAAGGTTGGTCTCATTGCCGCTAGGAGAACTGGTCGTCTCAGAGGACAAGCTGCCGCCACTGCCTCCAAGGCTGATAAGTGATAAAACAGTGCCATGGATGTTGCTTTTGGTTTCATTGTTAGTTTTTGCCAGTTTACTTGCTACTGTTATGTTGATCATCATACATTTGGAAAGTTTTGCAGTAATTTACTGATTATTGATATATTGATGGTGCTTTATTTAGATGTCTATTAATGATCCTGTATGCAGATGTTGAATGTTTATTTGGGTTTTGAATGTTTATTGATTTAGTAGTAATGTTAGAGCACCTGAAGGTTCTGTTCTTGACTCTGAAATTTGAATGAAAAATGACTGTTTTGAAGAACATTGAGGGGTTGTTTGTTTACCTCTTAATAGTTTCATTAAAAGACAACTTTTGAATCGTTAAGAGGTGAATCCTGTTTGGCAAAAAAAGTTTGCCGATTAATGGTTCTAAAACCCTCTGAATGATTTTGTATCATGGATATTTCTTAACCATTAAGAGCCTAATTTCATTGTACACAATTATCAAACAATTATATTTCATTTTGCATTATATCATGAGAGCTTCTTAATCATTCTGCACCAAATCATTCAACAATTGACAAACAGTCCTTAAGCTTCTTGTTAGCAGCTTAATGATAAATTTGACTTGTAGCTTATTCGGTAAGTTATATGTGATTGTTTGGTGTTGGTTTAATGATGTAGAAAACGACTTATTCGATAAGTGTTTTTAGGGAGCTTTATGTAAAAACAAGTTATGCATCAAATGGGACGAGAGAAATGTCTCTTTTGTCCAGTCTTGATGCTCCAATATCTGAATAAACCAAACTAAATAATTAACGTGTTTCTACCCGGGAAAGTTGTGTTCACATACCAAACGAACCCTGATGGAATGAACTTAAGAACCGATATTCCAATATCTGAATAAACTAAACCAATCTAAACCGTTCATCTGTTTCAACTGGAGTAGGGATTGGAGTTTCGAGATACGATATGACGTATATATATCGAAATTTTATTTAAAAAAACTAGAAAGTTTACTTTCATAAAAAAAATCTGAATACAACAGAATATAGAATCCATGGGCCAACTTTAATTCCAAGGCAAATTGGGAGCAACCCACAAGGTCTAAAAGCATCCTGTTTTTAGCTTTGACATTTCGTCGAACACATCACCTGCATCTTGGTTCCTCTATTTATACTCATTCCACCATGGACACACATCTCCATCTTCAACTCACATGCCTTAAAATCACCCACAATTCCACCATACAAGATGAGTGGTGAAACTGTAAGAAAAGCTTGTGTGGTTGCCGCGAGCATCGGGGCGGTGGAAGCGTTGAAAGATCAAGGTGTTGCACGGTGGAACCGCCCTCTTAGGGAACTCCACCATCATGCCGAAACCAATATTGTCTCTTCTTATTGGAAAATAACCGTTGATCGCCCAACCCGATTGCCGTTTACTAGTACGATATCTTCTTGGTTGGCGGTGGCAATGAACGGGAAACATAAAGTGAAGAGGACTAAAGAAGAGTCGATGAAAAGAGTTGTGGAGACGAGTTGTTTTGGTCCCAATACGGTTAGATTTTAGAGGCAACATGTTCGGATGTCGCATATCCTTTTATAATAAATAAAACAATCAACGTTTAACATATCATTTTTACACTTGAAGCTTCACAGTAAAACATTGTGAAGATAAAAAAATTTGAACCTTCATAGCAAAAAACATTGTGAAAAATGGTCTCATGGTCTTACAAAAACAAGTTGGTCTCACAGATCCCAAGTCTATAATATATATGTATATATATATATATATATATGTGTGTGTGTGTGTATGGGCTTAATCATTTGAGAACTCCATATATTGTGATAACCGCGAGAATTCTTATCTTAAGACATTGTTTCACATGATTTTTGCCTATCTAAGACTAGTATTTAATCTTTTGATAAACATATATTTGTTTCACAATGTGTTTGTTTCATATGTATGCGGTTCATAATGTAAAATTTCATTACATACAACTTTTGTTTCACAAATAATCTAAAAAGGTTCACATTGTGAAACAAATATATTTTAATCAATATTCTAAACCCTAGTCTTAAATGAAAAGAAAACATATGAAATCACACATGATGCACTAGTTGTCAATGTTATCACAATTTCACAGGTTCTTAAAAGGTCCACACACACACACACAAACATATATATATATATATATATATATATATATATATTCTAAAAGTCAAAATCATCTTGATTCGGCTTAGGTGAAGTCAACAAAGCCGTGTAGAGCCTGAGCCTATCCTCCCCAAGTGAAGAACACCTTGATAACGGTCTTCTTGGCCTAATGAACGACAGTGAAGTCAAAGTCAACCGATGTCTGTACCTCCTCCATGCCAACTGAATAGCCACGGCCGCCCATGTCCTCCACCCCGGAGAATAATATCGTGCACTCCTCTTCACCTTTTCATTCACGAACGTGTACCTAAAATGTTGTGTTACATACTTCACATCATCCGCTTCTAGAGCAAAAGCCTCGGTTGTCTCCAGGGTGACGAGTGTCGATGATGATGGAGGTAGTCTCTCGATGAAGGGTCGTCTGAGGCACCATGATAAGAGCTCGTCGCCACTAAAGTTCCCGGGGCCTAACATGCAACAACTTTTGACGCCATCTCGTAGAACTTGGTTGCTCTGTAGATGGCCTCTTACTATGAACAAGATTCGTTGTACAGGATCTCCTTCTCGAGCAATCTTTTACAACCACCACGATTAAAACCAAATCAACTTAGTATATCTCAGTCGAAAGTAACGGCTATGTGTATCTGTATGATGTATGCAAACTTGTCCTCAATCCTAAAGGATAAAGCAGTTATTACTGCGAAAACCCTCGACTTTTTGTGCTAAATAAACTGTATATACGAATTGACAGAGTAATCTAAACGTATTGTATATACGCATAATAAGATAATATAAAAACCCGTCAAAGATAGTGATTATAGGGGTCGAGATTAGATGAACTCACGGTTTCTCCCTTGGTGAAGATGAGGGACTTGACACGGTCACATATGTTCTCGAGGACCAAACTATCCATATGTTGAAATAAAGGTACCTGAGTTAAACATTTATTATAAAAGTAAGTAGGAAGTGCAGAAAGTCATCTGATCCAATTGGAACCGAACGATGCGATTAGAACCAATCAACCATAATCGGATATCCAATTGTAATCGGATCCTCATCCAGATTTTCAACCTCCAAATCGGATCGGTCGATTCTCGGATGACAGTCCAATATCCAACAAACCGAACCGATCCAATCCAATAACCATCCAATTATCATCCAATTAATATCTAATTAATAATTATATATAATTATTAGCATTTTACAATATTTTTTAGTTGATATTTATGTAAAATATTTTTTAATAACTTAAGAAAATATATGAATAATTAATTGAAATGGTGGATTAATTGACTGAGTATTAGATCAAAAGATTGGACGAATCCAATCAAATGGATAACCAATAGTAACATCCAATGGATGAAACCGATCTGATCCAATCATCCATTGGATTTGGATTGGATCGAATGTTCAGTGTTAATCGGATTAGATCGGATGACAAAATCCAAAATCCAATGGATGATTGGATTAGATCGTATCCACTTAAATCTATTGGATTTCAACCGATCAACACCCATAAAAGTAAGATTTCAAAAATTTCCATCTCACCCCTCAAGGAATTTATGTTTTTCTTATTACACCCCAATAGTTAGGATTCTTTTTCATTCTAGTCCATATCGTTCAAGACTCGGTGACCGATTATATTACCATTCCGATGGGTATCAAACATTTTTATACAAGCAACTCTTCGACCGTGGAAATATATATACCACGAGACGTTTTTCATCATTTTAGACACCTCCATGAAAACATGTTTTGGCATACGAACCTGTCGAACCAAATCCAAGCAAAGGTGATACTTAATGTCTCTCCGCAGACACTCAGGGAGATTGCGTATCATTTCACACTCATCCACACCACGCATTGCCGCCCATCGTTGACGCTCGTAGTTTCGTACTCGTTGTCGGAATTCCTGAGGGAGGCGCCGCCTCCTCATCCACCACTCTATATTTCTCATTTTCAATTGCATAGCTTGTTTTTTTGATGTTGTCGCGTGCAAAAATACCTATATATACACACATTCGTACCTCGTTTACAAGAGTAGACTCGTATTTTGACTTTTAAGGTCAAACCGTCGTATCTGCGTGCGTACCTTGATATTTCCAATCAACATGGTGACGAGAAGAAGCCCCAATGTGATAACAATGATGATGAAAACAACTTCTAGCCAATCCGTCGTGCTCTCCAAGTTCCCAAACGTACTACATCGTACATACAACGACACAAGCTCATTCAAACACCACAAACACCCTAACAAAATCAGGTTTACAGGACGTCAAAATTTCCTAAGGGTTATAATGGACGTTCTAATAAGTTTTTAGGACGTTTTTAGGCGTCGTAACAAAGTTTTTAGGACGTTTTTAGGCGTCGTAACAAATTTTTTGGGCATTTTTAGATGTCGTGATAAGTTTTTTAGGATATTTTTAATATAAAACGTCATATAAGTTATTTTATATAACACTATTTGAAAAGTGTCTCATAAAAAAATGAGTTTATAAAACATTTTTAAAAAAAAATTAATGCGACGCTTTGTATTAAAAGTGTTCTAAAAATATGTTAAGACGCCAAAAATCGTTTTATAAACTTATTACAATGCCTTTAGATGCACTTTGTTTTTTTGGTTTTATAGATTAAGCCTTATAATGCAGTATATCAGAACGTTTATAAAAATTGGTGGCCTCCTATAAACCCAATTTTGTTGTAGTGAAATATGATCTTTGGTAATAATGTCTAAAAATGCAAATGTAACACCCACATATATAGATCAAACCAGTTGGCTCAGTAACTATCAGATCAACTTAAAACCATGATAAAAGTTATTGACAACCCATAATTTTAAACTTATGGTAAATTCACGAATTTCTGTATCCATATCGGATTTGGTTACCGATTAGATATTTATGATTTTTATCTGTTATATTAAACGAAATAATTTGGTTACCTGAGATTCATGAGTCCCCAAAAAATGGGAAAAAGTATCTTCTCCAAACGACTATCGTTGGCAACGAGTTGAAGAGTCCATTTCAAAGCTCCGTAGCTGTAATCATCGTCGTCGTCGTTCTCAAGGCAAGTGGATCTCGCCGCTTTGTTCAATCCCCACAAGAGTCTCGTCTTATCTCTCACTAAGTCGTTCGAGCCATAATAAATGGGGTTTTGACACGTCAAAAATCTTGAAACACAACGTCCGTTTGCTTCCATGCATTTTTCCCGCAAGCATTTTGCTACTCGTTGCATACCAAGCAAGTACCAACAAGCTCCCACGGCCTGCAACCGACAACTTTCATAGAAGTAAACTATATGTGTTCGTATTAACTCGAATTCACACACTGATAACTTGTGTTATTTTACCAAAGGGTCATTGGCCCAATGGTACTGGGTTACAGGTAGATCCAAACTTCCTAAATATCTAGAATTCAATTCTCATTAAATAAGATTTTTGACGTGGTTTTTGAAGGAAAATACAGTATAGGGACGGGCCCAAATCGGTCTCTTTAAAACCACGCCGACCGGTCCAAATCCAAGGAGGAATAAAAATCTCCTTGTGGCCACGGAGGTTCAAATGCGGTGACTCCGACTATCTGCAAAGCAGGTGGTCGTCCTGTGATTAGTCGGCTTATATAGCGGGTTGGATATCGAGGTTAATAAAAAAAAAAATCCTAGGATTGGTCTTGGGCTTGACAATTGGTAGCGGTCTTTCCGGACCGGTCCCAATTTGGTAACAGACCCAACAAGTCGTTTTAAAAAAAATTAAAAATATTTATTCACAAAAACGTCATTTAAGTTTCTATAATTATTATTTTTGTAAATAAGTATTAAGGGTTGGATTTACGTGAGACCAGCCTGTTTTCTTGAGACCCGTGAGACCACTTTTTTTACACTTGAAACTTCACATCAAAATGTTGTGAAGGTTAAAAAAAAGTCGAACCTTCAAAGCAAAAACACTGTGAAAGTTACATTCACAACGTTTTGCTGTGAAGTTTCAAGTGTAAAAAAGTGGTCTCACGAAAACATACTGTTCTCACATGATCCGAAGTCTAAGTATTAAAATACACTTTAAATATTACATTTACTTGAAAAACTTATTTTTGAAAAAGATAATGAAAAATTCTTGAAAATCGGTCTCGGGCCTGAATTTCCATAAAACCTGTAATCGGTCCGAGGCCGGCCCAGTTTGGCCATGTCTACGTTTAAGACGAAATCAAGATCGGAGAAGATACTTATAATCTTACATGAGAGGCAACGAAGTAGGCGATCAAATTGAGAGCAATTCCCCACCAAACGGTACCGAAAACGTAGCCCGAAAGATTTTGCATCCGTCGTAGAAGACGTATCGAGTGATAAATCTTCGGTAGGTATTGAAACAAGAACGTGATTAAAGCTATCGTCATAACCTCCGTCGTCAAACCCCTCTTTAACAATGCCGGAATCACTACCCATAACACCACCTACCAACGAAAACCACCGTTGTACGCATAACTTCAGCAACGATCATTCATTCATCCGTACTATAAAACACAAATTAGCGTGTGCGCACGCACACACACATGGAGTTGAATTCACGTGAGATCAGCTTGTTTTCGTGAGACTCGTAAGACCACTTTTTTACGCTTGAAACTTCACAATTGAACATTGAAAAGGTAGTCAAAGACCTTCCAGCATAGTGGTAAAAGTTTGGGCATGGCATAGTCATGAACCCAAGTTCGAGCCCTGGGAGGGAGTGTTGGCGACATTTAAGTGGGGCCATGTTTAGCCTCCAAAATTGCCGGGGATTAGTCGGGCTTTGGCCCGGACACCCTTACAAAAAAAAAAAAAAAAGGTAAAAAAAGCCAAACCTTCACGGTAAAAACATTATGAAGGTTACTTTCACAACAAAAATACTGTGAAGATTCAAATATAAAAAAGTAGTCTCACGAAAACAGTCTGGTCTCACGTGTTCCCAAGTGTATGTATATATTGATACAAACAATCGTCCAAAACAAAATAATGTTCGGTTCTAAAACTCTCTGAATGATTTTGTATCTTGAGTCTCCATTAACCATTCAGCACCATAATTTCATTGTAAACAACTACCAAAAATTACGTTTCACCTTTAGTGTATATCATAAGAGTCTCTTAATCATTCTAACCACTTAATTATTTTGCACCAAACCATTCAACAACCGTCAACGTCAACGTCAACATGTCTCTCAATTATATTTAAAATTTTAAAATTAATATCGGTTTAATGAACCTGTGGGATGGGGAGGATGACGAAGAGATCAAAGAGGACTCCCCTTCCGGCCTGTTTCAGAACCTGCCGGTTTGTCACGTGGCATGAAGCTTTCTCGTAGGGTCTTAATCCGACGTCGTGTCGGTACCACCTGTTCCACTTGAACTGCAACCACATGTTCGCCACGTGTAAGGCATCGGTCATGCACCGGACTACCGTGACGGTGGCGGCGAACCACCCGTCCAAGAACACACACATCCACGAATCGCTTATGGAGAGTGAGTAGAAGAAGATCGGGTCGATGAACAGACCGATGGTGCAAACCACCACGTAAACTTGGTCCCATGCTTGAAGAACACCTGGATCGAATGTGCCATAAATGGTCTTTTTGGTGGGCTCGTCTTCCGCCGTTTCTTCGCCGGAATCTTCGTCGGAGGTGTCGGAATAACCATCGGAAAACTCATGCCTGCTACCCATTAATCTGAGTGTTGAATCCACCACCACCTAGCTCTTTGGTGTAATAAGTTGCACCATGAAAAGGAAACATGTGAATATATATATACACACTTGTGTACCCGTGTAATGTGGCAGAAATCGTGAATTTTAATGATTTTGAAGTTTCACTAGTTTTATTAGAGAAGATTTAACGATGATATAAGTTACATTTGATATTTACATATTAATACAATTTAAATAAATAAGAGTTACGGTTTCAATTACAGTCTACCGATACGAAAATTGTATGACAAAACTAGGACCGGTACGTGTTGAAGACCCATTACTATAAGTGGCAAGTGTCAGGTTTTAATGAATAAGGTTAAATTGTTGTTTGTTCGTTGTGTTGAATAATGACCTACATAATGGAAATGACTATTTTATCTTTCTAGCTGTTTGGTTGGTTTTTCATTAAGTCATATATGAATAAAACTGTTTGTGTAGATTAATCTGTATGTATAGATTGAAAAAAAGTTTTTTGTTTGAAAGAGTTTTTTTAAATATGAAATAAGCATGTTTTTTAAATTAGAAGAGGCAGGGTTGGAAAAAAAAAAACTTGGATTTCCCATGAAGCCTTCATCTACTTAATAAGTCACTATCAAACAATCATGTATAACTTACCGAATATGAACTTAGAGGTTGTTTGTTTACCTCTTAATAGTTTCATAAAGAGGCAACATCTGAATCATTAAGAGATGAACCTTGTTTGGCAAAAAAAAAAGTCTGTCTCTTAATGATTCTAAAACTCTCTGAATGATTTTGTATCATGAGTCTTCCTTAACCATTAAGTGTCCTGATTTCATTGTAAACAATTACCAAACAATTATATTTTATTTTGTACTATATCATGAAAGTCTCTTAATCATTCTGACCATTTAATCATTCTACACCAAACCATTCAACAACTACCAAATAAACCTTCACACCTCAAACCAAAGCTTTTTCAGCGTCGAACCACATAAGGGTTTTAATTACTTTTTAATTCCATCTTTAATATATAAAATTATCTAGAGCAAGTTACGATTGTCGTCCCTATGGTTTTTACTAATTTACCTTTTTGTCCCTATAATTTATGAATTGTAATTTTAATTTATATGGTTTGCAGTTTATTGTTATTTTTTTCACTAGATTGTATAAAATTCTTGTTTTTAAGTCTAAGGAGTTGTTTGTTTACCTCTTAATAGTTTCATTAAAAGGCAGTCTCTGAATCACTAAGAGGTGAATCTTGTTTGTCAAAAGAAAAAATATGTCTCTTAATGGTTCTAAAACCCTCTAAATGATTTTGTACTTTACGTCTCTCTTAACCATTCAACACCCTAATTTCATTATGAATAATTATCAAACAATTATATTTCATTTTGCACTGTATTATAAGAGTCCCTTAATTATTTTGCATCAAACCATTCAACAATCGTCAAACAGTCCCTAAAGGACCAAAACAGTGAAGAATTGTAAACTACAGAAGCTGAAAAAACAATAAATTATAAATCATAAAACCGAAAATAATAACGAATTACATGTAAGGACGGAAACCATAATTTCTCAACAATAGGGACGGAATCGTAATTTTTAACAAACCGTATTGGAAAAAAATGTTATTTACTTAATTTTTTATTTATGAAACAAAAAAGATTTGTAGACAATGTAGTGTCCTGCTGCTGATTTTAACAAACAAACAAAACATTGGAATGTGTGAGATTTTGATAGGTTAACTCAGGTTGGCAAATATGAAAGTACCAAATTGCCCTTTTGCTCATCATATTCAAAATTTCTCAAAAATTAAATGATCAAAACTTTAAAACTCTATTAAAAAAAATTATCATCAAGAGATCCTCTAAAAATTGAAGATTATAATATATTATATATATTATATTATATTATTAAAATATTATATATATATAATAATAATAATAAGTTTTCTCTCAAATTGGTTTTGTGTTTTTTTAAAGGATGTCTCAGACTATGCCTAGACTAATCCCGACAGATCATGACTGTAAGAAATCAGTCCCGATAAATTCAGTGACAACAATTATTGTGTATGACTGGAATTGAACCGTGGGTAAATGAATATTCCCCCACATCTTCCAGAACCTCAACCACTACGCCACAATCCTTGTGGTTTGTTTTTTTGTCTTTTTATGCTGATATAATCTAGATTATGTTCGAATTATTGATTTTGAAAGACTAAGGTGGTGTTTGTTTTTTAAGAGGTTCTGAAGTCTGAAGTCTGATTTCACTTCTGAATTTTAAGAGGTGGTACTGAAGTCTGAAATCTGAATCAGTCAGACTGTTTGTTTTTACGTCTGAAATCTGAAATCTGAATCAGTCAAGTTTTGGATCTGATAGATTTGGATCGATCTGGGTCATGATTTTACGAGCATATGTGGATCGATCTGGGTCGTGATTGATTTGGAGATCGAATGTCTTGCGAGATAGATTTAGAGGACTAAATCTGGAGGTGAGGATGGAGGGGAGAGTCTGGAGGGAGCGATTAAGAAGATTTAAGTGATTATGTTATCACTTTTTTTTCATAGCAAATTAAGAGCTTTTCAGCTCTTATTCATATAAAAAAACAAACGGTCTGAAAATAAAAACGTCTGACCGGTTCAGACTTAAGAGGCATTAAGTGGTTTTTTTCAAAAAACAAACAAGCCCTAAGCTTGTGTTATTGATTGATTTTGATTCAGTTGTTTTTAGGGTTTATTTACTTGATTAGAAAAGACTGTACAAATCTAGTTAAGTTTAGTTTTTAACTACTCGTAAGTTTCCAAGTCGAGTTCGAGTATGAGAAATGATATCGAGTTCTAGTCGGGTATACTTATACTTGAACTCGACTCGCATCATTTATACCCCTACCAATGACCACCTTTGCCTTCCTTCCTCTCGACTTTCTCTCTATTTATCTCTCTCTCATCCGCAACCACCTCCCCTCCACCACCTTCTCATCTTCTCCGCCGCGACAAACTCCACACCGCCCGTCACCACTTGAATGATTACAGGGGGGAAATTAATAGAGCGAGAAAAATCAACACCCCATCTCACTTATAACTGAAACTGACTTTATTTTTGTTATAATTGTGGGTGCTTTAAACACAGCTTACAACTTTCACTGTACTGTGCAAAAACGATTCCCGTAGTAGCTGCGAGCGAAATGGGAAGCCGGAATCGCTAGTGATCGCCGGTCATACTAGTTAAATTGCCAAAACCCATCATAAGAATGCACGATAGGAGAAAACTGAAAACAGTATGAAAAAGTTTTAGACTTGAAATAACGACACCCATTATTCAAGAAGCAACATGATCACATGTCGCATATCTTTTTTTTAAATAAATAAAATAATCAATGTTTAACATTCAGATATACAAATATAGTTCCCATCTTATTTTATTTTCACATCGATATATATATATATATATACATACATATATATATATATATATATTTAGAAGTCAAAATCATCTTGATTCGGCTTCGGTGAAGTCAACAAAGCTGCGTAGAGCCTGAGCCTATCCTCCCCAAGCGAAGAACACCTTGATAACGGTCTCCTTGGCCTAATGAATGACAACGAAGTCAAAGTCAACCGATGTCGGTACCTCCTCCATGCCAACTGAATAGCCACCGCCGCCCATGTCCTCCACCCTGGAGAATAATATCGTGCACTCCTTTTCACCTTTTCATTCACGAACGTGTATCTGAAATGTTGCGTTACATACTTTACATCATCAGCTTCTAGAGCAAAAGCCTCGGTTGTCTCCAGGGTGACCAGTGTCGATGACGATGGAGGTAATCTCTCAATGAAGGGCCGTCTGAGGCACCATGATAACAACTCGTCGCCACTAAAGTTTCCGGGGCCTAACATGCAACAGCTTTTGACTCCATCTCGTAGAACTTGGTTGCTTTGTAGATGGCCTCTTACGATGAACAACATTCGTTGTACTGGATCTCCTTCTCGTGCAATCTATTACAACAACCACGATTACAGAAATTGTATATACAACTACGTGTATTTTGACAATGTAATCTCATCATATCGTATATAATCATAAGAAGAGAACGTTCACGCACATCAAAACTATTAATGATAAAGGTCGAGATTAGATGAACTCACGGTTTCTCCCTTGGTGAAGATGAGGGACTTAACGCGGTCACATATGTTCTCGAGGACCAAACTATCCATATGTTGAAATAAAGGTACCTAAGTTAAACATTTGTCATAAAGGTAAGATTTCCATAAATTCCATCTCAACCCTCCAAGAATTGTTGTTTTTCATATTACAACCCAATAGTTAAAGTTCTTCTCATTTAAGTCCAAATTGTTCAAGACGCGATGAACAATTATATTACTTTAACGTTATAACGGGCATCAATATAAACATTGTTATACAAGCGGCTCTTCGACCATGACATTTTTATACAACTAAGGGGCCGTTTACCAAACACTTAACCGGTAGGTGCTTACCGGTAAATTTAACACTATCATTTACTTACCAGATAAGATTTTAGTCCACCAAAACGGTATCGTATGCAACAATTTACCCGGTAAGCGAAAAGCCGTGGTAAGAGTCACCGTCCTCACTTACCGGTTAAGAATCTTGGTCCTTGTCTCGCTCTTACACTGGTAAAATTCTTGATCCTTACCATATTCATCTGATAAAGTAAAATGACTCGGTGTTCACTTACCCGAGTAAGCGTTTGGTAAACGGCCAGACATTTTTTTAATCATCTTAGACACGTGTATAAAATTTTCTTTCAAATCTCACGATATACATAAACTAATATCTTATACAGACATACTGCAAATTAACCATGTTTTAGCATACGTACCTGTCGAACCAAATCCAAGCAAAGGTGATACTTAATGTCTCTCCGAAGACCTTCAGGGAGATTGCGTATCATATCACACTCGTCCACACCACGCATTGCCGCCCATCGTTGACGCTCATAGTTTCGTACTCGTTGTCGAAATCCCTGAGGGAGGTGCCTCCTCCTCATCCACCACTCTATATTTCTCATTTTCAATTGCATAGCTTGTTTCTTTGATGTTGTCGCATGCAAAAACACCTATATATATATACATCCAAACCTCGTTTAAACGACTAGACTCGTATTTTGACTTTCAAGGTCAAACCATCGTATTTGAACGCGTACCTTGATATTTCCAATCAACATGGTGACGAGAAGAAGCCCCGTTGTGAGAACAATGATGATAAAAACAACTTCTAACCAATCCGTCGTGCTCTCCAAGTTCCCAAACGTACTATATCAAATATACAAGGACACTAGCTCGTTTAAGTACTAGAAAATTGATCTGTTGTAATAGATAACGTCTAAAAACCCAAATGAAATGCTCATATAAACAGACCAAAGCAACAAAATTTTCCAATAACCGACAAATTAATTTAAAACCATGGTGAAAATTATTGGTAACCCACAACTTTGAGCTTATAAAGAACTCAGAATTCTAATTTTCTATCTGTGTATGATGGGTTGTTACAACAAATGATTGATCCTATGATTTTGATCTTTTATATAAAAGAAACACTTCAACAAAATGGGGTTTTATAGGATGCCAAAAAAGTTTAAGTATCTTAATAGACCGTTTTATATGACTTAATTTATAGGACCGAAAAATAAAACGTCATATTTAAAAGCGTTGTAATAAGTTTATAGGACGTTTTTGGATGTCTTAACAAGTTTTTTAGTATACTTTTAATACAAAGCATCCCATTAACAATATTATTGGACATTGTATGGAAAATTGTCCTATAAGACCAAGTGTCTTATAATATTGCTGATGCAAAGCTTTGTATTAAAAATGTCATAGAAAACTTGTTCAGACGTCCAAAAACGTCATATCAACTTATTACAACGTCTTTCATATATGACGCTTTATTTTTTGATCCTATAAGATTAAGTCTTTTAGAACAGTTTGTTAAGACGTTTAGAAAGTGGTGGCATCCTATAAAGCCAATTTTGTTGTAGCGAAATAATTTGGTTACCTGAGCGTCATAAGTCCCCAAAAAATGGGAAAGAGTATCTTTTCCAAACGACTATCGTTGGCAACGAGTTGAAGAGTCCATTTGTAAGCTCCGTAGCTAAAATTGTCATCGTTTTCAAGGCAAGTCGATCTCGCCTCTTTGTTCAATCCCCACAAGAGTCTCGTCTGATCTTTTACGAAGTTATTCGAGCCATAATAAATGGGGTCTTGACATGTCAAAAATCTTGCAACACAACGTCCGTTTGCTTCCATGCATTTTTCCCGCAAGCATTTTGCTGCTCGTTGCGTACCAAGCAAGTACCAACAAGCTCCCACGGCCTGCAAACGTTAACTTTCATACAAGTTAGCATCTACATTCGTATTAACATGAAATTCACACAATGGTAACTAGGTATTCCTTTACCAAAGGGTCATTGGCCCAATGGGTCCTGATCATGTCCAAATCGGTCCTGGCCCAGTCTCAACGAAATATCCTAAGACTAGTCCTAGGCCCAACAATCGGTCTTGATCCTTCCGGCTAGTCCCAAATATCGTCTCGGGCTCAGCCAACTTTTTAAAAAATATATTTTTTTACACAAAAATGTTATTCATGTTTTTATAATAACTATTTTTAAACGATCATGAAAAAACTCGTATTATAATTTGTAAAACTTGAAAAATCGTGAAAATCGGTCTTATGCATAACCGATCCCGCGTCGGGTCAAATCGGGCCTTTGAATTTCCATAAAACTTGTAAGCGGGCCCATCGGTCTCGAGTCGAGCCCACTTTAGCCATCTCTACATCATAACAGGTTTCTTTTTCTTGGCCACCTTTTTGGAAAAAGGGTTTTATCATAGTGGATGCTTTTAGAGGTGGCAAATAGGCAAAATAGTCGGGTTGAATAACAAGTTAACTTTTAGTACAAATCAAAGTAGGATCGGATCGGGATCGAGATCGAGATCGAGATGGAGATCGAGATCGAAGTAGTGCGTGTTAAAACAAAATCAAGATCGAAGAAGAGATACATATATAATCTTACATGAGAGGCAACGAAGTAGGCGAGCAAATTGAGAGCAATTCCCCACCAAACGGTGCCGAAAATGTATCCCGAAAGATTTTGCATGCGTCGTAAAAGACATACCGAGTGATAAATCTTGGGTAGGTATTGGAACAAGAACATGATTAAAGCGACGGTCATGATTTCCGTCGTCGAACCCCTCTTTAGCAACGCCGGAATCACTACCCATAACACCACCTATCAACAAAAACCACAATTATACACAAAAATTCACTAACAATCATTCAGTCGTGGTATAAAACACAACTTAACACATAACATGCATGCATATTTTATATAAACAGATCATCGAAAATGGTATTCTTTTCGAAATGCATTAAATGTTGTAATAACTGCATATGTTTCAGTTTGAACAAGTAGACTTAATCGGCAAAAAGATTATTAGCATACGTGTGTCTGTCTGTGTGGGTTCACGTGTAATAAGACTGTTTTCGTGAGATACGATTTTTACATTTGAAGCTTCACAACAAAATGTTGTGAAGGTAAAAAAACCGCATCTTCACATCAAAAACATTGTGAAGGTCACGGTGTTTTGGTGTGAAGTTTAAAGTGTAAAAATCGTGTCTAATCTCACGAAAACAATTTTGTCTCACATGATCCCAAATGTATATATATATATATATATATATATATATATATATAGATATATATATAGAGAGAGAGAGGATGTTTATTTTATAAACCACGTTATTTGTACAAACCGTACAAACCTCATTCAACCGATCATAATTTTTCATTTTGTTTATTTTTTTGTAATTATGAGGGGTTGATTAATCATTTTTATTGTGGAAGATGTTAATCATAGATATTATCATCTTCCTTATATTAATTTTAGAGAAATACATGAAACAGTTTCATTAAAATTTCATAAGTATTTTATGAAACAATTTCATAACCATATATGAAACAACTTCATCCAAAAAAGTATTATATGAAAAAATTTCATAAGATTAAACAATGAAATTGACGGATGAGAGTGGTTTGCACGGTTTGTACAAATATGAGCGGTTTGCATTTGATCGCTCCCCTCTCTCTCTCTCTCTATATATATATCACAAATTAACGACGTGTGAGGTTTTGATATCAACACCGATCGATTTCCTACTAGCATATGTGAAAGTACCGAATTGCCCTTTTGCTTATCATAACTATGTAAGAAGGAGAAGGGATATAACGAGGGTGGTTTTATTTTTGTACTTTGAAATGTTATTCATAGTTATATGAACTTGTATACTAGAAATCAATCAAAAAAAAAAAAAAAGAAGACAAAAATGGCTCTCATCATGTGAGGGACACATAAACTCTATAACGGATATCAAAGTTGGAGTTAAGGGCTCGTTTCGTAGCAGAATGCGTAGTCATTTTTATACGTAGTTTTTCGTTTTAGGGACCACTTTCATACCATACGGACTAAAATTACAATTCACTCAATAAAATGTAACTTAAATCGACCCATGTTCAAATAAACGACTCGAAACCATAATCATCAATACTATACAAAATGGTAATTAAAACCCTAATTAATTGTAGAAATTAAAACAACAATATATATACATATATATATATATATATATATATATGTGTGTGTGTGTGTGAATATATACGTATTAGGCAATATTGTGATTAGCCAAAGAGCCATGAAACCCCGTTAAGACCATCTTAGATTAGTCGTTTATTTGGAAACCTAGTTAGCGTATAATTGTCGATATAAAAGAGCATTTGTTTTGAAGACAAAGCGTTTTGATGGCAACGACCTAAAAGGACGATAGCTTCCGAAAAAGATTAGTCTACGAGAAATGGGAGAACGAAAATGAAACCTTAATTAATCACAAATGTAATCTTTAATTTATACGCGACATATATACGTATTTAGGAACCCGGGAACGGTTCACAATACACCCACGTGTCCCTCTTCAGTACGAATATTCATCATGAATAACACATTCATAATTAATATGGAAGTGTTATTCATAATGAATCACACATTCACAGTTAATAACACGTCCATAAACCTGATGAATATATCATGTATTGCGTTCTACGGTTCCCGGGTTTTGGTAATAACATCTTAGTAACTCCATACATCGAGTACGATATACGATATAGAAGTGAAGTTTGTATTGTTCTTTAACTAAATTGTCATTTACCCTAATGTGGTATTCAAGCAATTTCCCAAATACTGAAGCTTATTCATAATGAATAAATACAAGATTTTAGGTATAAATGAAACTAACCTGGGGTATAGGAAGGATAACAAAGAGATCAAAGAAGAAGCTTTTCTTGGCCTTGGTTATGATCCGAGCCGCCGTGATACGTGCAACATCGTCATCATGGCTCAACCCACGGTGGTGGCGCGGTGATCTCCACCACCTGCTCATCTTAAACCCCAACCACATGTTCCACAAATGCAAGGCGTCGGTCACACACCGGAGAACCGTCACGGTGACGGCGAACCACCCGTCGACGAACACACACATGCATGATTCACTGATGGAAAATGTGTAGAAAAACAGTGGGTCGATGAACAGACCGGTGGTGCAGACCAGAAGGAAAACCCGGTTCCAATCTTGAATCCAGCCGGATCTTGGGTCCAGCGGCACCCGACCACGTGGACGGCACGTGGTAGAGATGGTTCCTTTGGAATCTTTAGACTCTTCTTCTTGTTGTTGTACTTCTTCTTCTTCTTCTTCTTCTTCATCTTCTTCTTCTTCACTGGTATCTGTGTAAGTATCTGCAAATTCATGTCTGCTAGCCATGGGTGTATGTGTGTATGTGTGTATGTATGTATATATGTCTGTATGTATATGTGTGAGTGTTTTTACTGTCACTGTGTGTGTGTGTTTTTACTGTCACTGTGTGTTATTACACCGTGACTGTGTGTGAGAGAGATGGATTTGTAGGAGGGGGATTAGGGATGGGTTTGAGTCAGTGAGAAAGAGAGAATAAGGAATATTTGTAGAGGATAGGACTAAGAGTGAGTGATGAGAGATGATTTTTTGCTCAAATAATAAAATATATTTTTATTTAAAAAAATTATTGGATAATAATAAATTACCTTTTTTTTATAGGGAGAGGGGAGATCCCTTCGGATCAAGGTAAAACACTAAAATGCTAAAAGAAAGTCAAATGGTGGGAGAGAACCATAACCACTAGAAAAAGCCAAATTACTTATTTTAGGGTCGTTTATCAAATACTCATCGGAGTTAGAGTTTATTCGGCGTCATTTATTGTATCGAGTGAGAACGACAAGGTTTGGGATTTGTAATTGGTAAGGAAAAAATATAACAAGAACCGAGAATCTTACTCAGTAACTAAGATAGTAGACTCTCACCTGGTCACTAATAGAAAACTAACTGTCACCGACGACAACTCGATCCATTGGTAATTTTCGATGGAACACTGACAAACATCCCACCGTGAATAAATTTCCCGACTCCGTTAGATAATCTGGGTTATTTTTTAGATCAATGATGGATTACCAACGGTTATAAAAATATTTTAATTTTAATTTTTTTAAATATTTTTTTAAGCAATTATCAGGTAAAAGATATTTGCCAATAGTTCATGTGGGTAATAACTCTTGATGATAATATTATAAAACAAAGAGGTTTATCCGACGGGAAAATCTGTCGGTATTCCAACAGAAAAAAGCCATAACTTGCGTATTACTGACGGATCCGGTCGCCGGAGAAATTTAAGTGCGGGCAGTGATTTTGATTACCGGTGGATTTTTCAATCACCGACAGAAAAAAAATACAACGGTAATTCGTCTGTGAAGGTCAATTCGTCGGTGCTCCGTCACAAGTCCTTTGGTAATTACTGACAGACGAAATCCGATCTCACGCTCGAGTGTCTTTTATGCTTTTTTTAACTGATTATCACTTATTAAATATAATTTTGTTCTGAAAAAAAAAGATGATAAATACAACTGATTGTTGAAAAACTAGTCAACTATTAAATTATACGTGTTTTTAATAACGAAAATATGATTAGATACATATACCCTTTTGAGTGTAAATACCAGTATCATGGTTTGTATCGATTTTTACCGATGCGGATATTTAAAGATAACATTTGTAGCTATAAACGCTAGCGACGTAAATCGTACTATTTTTCCGTTTTTATCATTCACAGAGTTTTGATCCTAAAGCGAACATCTTTGTCTATTTTAAGCGTGACTGTATCTGGATTTTAATCGATTTTAGTAAATCAATAATTGAATATTGACGTTATAGAAAATGTTATATTTAATGCATAACAAAATTACAGTAACTTTTTTTAGAACTCTCTAGATCATGAGATCTCTGAAAACTAATGCATCATGTGCTATTTCATATGATCTTTTTCCATCTATGACTAAAAGTTAATGTAGTAATTAACAGATATTTGTTTCACAATGTGTTTGTTTCATATGTACACGGTTCAGAATATGAACCTTTTTGGCATGTTTGTGAGACAAAAATTACACGTAATTTTTTTTACCCTGATGGTATTTAGTAAGTAAAATAGTAAGTGTTTACCCGATAAAACAAAGTAACCGTACGTGATCGTTTTCAAATGTCAACCGTTGAAATCAAATAATTGAGTCGTAACGATATTGGATTTGCTCAACCAGTCGTTTTTTTTTATATCCAACATATTCCTCCTCCACGAATACGATACACGTCTCAAACCCTACTTCCAGTTACTGGTATGAACATCGAGATACTTAAATTCAGATATTTAAGTCTCGACTCGTTGAAAAACTATGATATTTGCTTCTTGCAAGTGATTATTCGAACTATTATATTTTGGTTTGCAATAAATATAATTATCTCGATTCTAAAAAGACAGATAAAATATCATTAAATTGAATTTATTATAACGAATAATCAGATACACGTATATATATATATATATATATATATATATACACTACGATAAAATCGGGTTTATAGAATGTCAAAATTGTTCAAATGCTTAATAGAACTTAAATTTATAAGAAGAAACATATGTCTGACATATCTAAAAGACTAAATGTGTTGTAATAAGTTTATAGAACGTTTTAACAAACTTTTAATGACATTTTTGAAACGAAATGTTTTATTAACTCTTTTATATGACACTTTTGAGACTTGTCTTATAATATATATATATATATATATATATATATATATATATATGTGTGTGTGTGTGTGTGTGTGTGTGTGTGTGTGTGTGTGTACATTATATATGTGAACGAAATTAGATGAAAAAAATCATATGAAATAATATATCATATATATGGAAAAGATTCGGTAGAACCTTAAATAAAAGAAACAGATAACCAAGAAAAACCGATGCAACATATATAAGGAGATGTTCATTTGAGAAGTTGTAAGTATTTGAGAAGTAAAGAAGTGATCATAGCTCTTAATACAGTTAAGATTGATTAAGAATTGCGTCTTTAACTAGTTAAAGGTTGTAGCTTTGATTGGTCAAGCAAAAAATATAGGGGTAGTTTCGTAACTTTTACAAATAACCGGCAAATGTGAACTCATAGTTCATATGTGAATCAGTTAATTAATTCATATATATGTGAATCGGTTAAATATTTCATATATGAATTATACGAGTTTCACATATGAACATATAGTTCATATGTGAATCACACTGGTTCACAAATCCACTTGTTTCGTCATCTATTTGTAAAAGTTACGAAACTACCCCTCTATTTCCCGGATACCATGCAAAAATTTATTCGGTACTTCACAATCAAAACCGCAAATCTTAACCAAATGAAGGGATAATGATCATTTTCTCTACTTTTTAAATACTTACAACTTCTCAAATGAACCTATGGTTATATATAGAGTACAAATCATCTAATCCTAACAAACTATACAAACGAAAATCATTTTGCTGTGAAGTTTCAAGTGTAAAAAGTTGGTCTCACGAAAACAGGTTGGTCTCACGTGATCCCAAGTCTATATATATATATAAGATGATAAGGTTCATTTATTATGATCATTGTTGTAGATTAAGAAAAAAATGAAACCAAATATTTATTATACTATATAGACAGATAAAAATTGATCTGTATGATTTGTAAATGAAACGTTACTTATATACTGAATATGAAAAACAGGTACAAAAACATTAGAAGACAAAATTAACGGGCCAGGGATATCGGGTTGGGGACAAAAACAACATAAGGTTTGGCAAACATAAAAGGAACTTTCCTTGTATTCATATAAGTTTGAGCAAACGCAGGTTCTTCGTAGCTTCGTTTGTTTTGGACTTTTTCCCATAAACCATACAAATCATAAATGTCCTTGTTTTCTTTCTTCACGTCTCATTCCTTTCGGCTTTTGACACTCACGGCGAATTCTAGGTTCGTATTATATATATATCTCACGACAAATAAAATTTGGATTACAGATGCTTCTAATTTCACGTTACCTAGAAAAAAAAATGTTTTTGGGTATCCACGATCTAATATACCCTTGTATTTCAAGAACCCGAAACTACTGAATATATACTTTTGTTTGGATATTTTTGTATGCAAATGTCGTATTCAGTAATTTTATCATTAATGAAAACACAGCGTCGTTGCCCATTCGATGATCTCATCATTTCGACTTCAACAAAATGTCGACTAGTTAAAACGAGTTGGTTTTGGTGTGATGTTGGATATAAGAACCAAAAACGTCTCGATCGAAGCAATATACTGATCTTTAATGACTCTTTTAAAAAGTATATAGTAACGTCTCTAACTATTGGGGGCTTGATGGGACGATATATTCGAGTTTATGTTCGAAAGGGTGTGTGATAGTCCCATGGTATATGTTGAAACATTTGTTGTTTTATTTTTACGAGTTTTTTTACAGATTAATCTGACGAAATTCTACATCTTTTCGCACACGAGGATCCTTTCATAATATGGAAAATTGTGTCATTTAAATCAACTTAAGTAAGGGGTCGTTTACTCAAATGCTTACCCGGTAAGTACTTACCGATATGAGTCAACACTATAGTTTATTTTTCTGGGTAAGATTGTAGTACAGCAAAACGATATAGTATGCAACAATTTACCCGGTAAGTGTTTACCCGGGTAAGAGTCTTCACTCTCACTTACTGGGTAAAACTCTTCATCCTTTCACCACTCTTACCGAGTAAGACTCTCCATCCTTTTACCGTTCTAACCGGGTAAGATTCTAAACCCTTACCATGTTCATTTGGAAAATAAAATTACCTGGTAAGCACTTACTGGATAAGCGTTTAGTAAACGGCCCATAAATTTAACCAATAAAAAATTGCTCTCTTGGTCCCAAATTAATTGTCCACATTTCTATTTTAGTTTGTTTTGTAAGTGTCCATTTTCATAAATAAGTTTATACTTTCCCATTCTACTCTTAAGCACTGTTTGTTTACCTTTTAATAGTTTCATTAAGAGGCAATAACTGAATCACTAAGAGATGAATCTTTTATGCAAAAAAAAAAAAAAGTATGCCCCTTATTATTATTTCAATTGGATTTATTTCCAACTTGAAGGTAGAAAACCAACATCAATCACTTAGAAGTTAGATGGTAAGATGAGTCAAAAATGTCTTTGATGAAAGGTGACAACAAAATTCAATCAAATACATTATAAATTTGAATTATTTGTCGGATAACAGTATTTTAAAAGTTACTGATATTGTTTTATATTTAAAAAACAACTGATATTTAAAAAAATTCAACTGAATTAAACCTAGTCAATTTCTTTTCAATCTGGTTTTTTCGATTTGGTTGACTCGTTTTTATATTTTTGAAAACCGTCTTTAATATGTTTTTAAAAGATGATTATATTTAGATTGATGTTTTGTTTGTTTTAGAAGGTGGAGTGGCCCAAGTTAAAAAAAGTAATAATTTTTTAACATTGTGGACTAAGTTTTATCTACCTAAGGG